TACTTTGCAAACTCATGGCCGTTTTTGTAGACAGACTTTTACTCCCTGTCTGGTTTGATTTGACCCAGTAAACCATATGCACTTGACAAGTTGTACATTGTGACTTTAATCGATAAAAAACAAAAAGGAGTAAACTAACTTAAGTTTATATAGCCGATCAATTCAAAAGCTCCTGTTGAGAATCAAATTTTTAATCGTATTGTTACTATAACTTGATCAACATGACTGGCTATCTTAAGAAATGGTTTAAAGTAAGAGTTGTTAGGTCGTGTGGCTAGTAAGGATGACAAAAATATATACTCTCGAGTCTCTTGGAGATTTGGTGACCGTTGCTTTATTCCCTGTAGATGCCTACTCCTCTTATCAAAAAGCTTAAAAAGATCTGGAAATCGGCCCAATGAGGTATTGTGTGTGTTGTGTGTTTGGGTCACAAATGGGGTCCTCTCCCCCGCTTACATTCCCCTTTCCGTTCTTGTGAATTGCCATTTGTCCCCCACACCGAACAAAAAAGGAACCAAAGAATGAAAGCAAAAGAGCTGAGTTATGGCTTCGGAGTACGGCAAGCTTAGCCACACAACAATACAGAGCCAACAAGTGTCAAGCCCTGAAATTCGCTACTCCACGTTTTCCTCGAGTCCTATAAAATTTGAAATTCATAACATTTTTTTAAGAGTTAATGTCATATGGGTCCTTCGAGTATATTAGTTTTGTCACGTTTAATTTTACATTTTCAAATTAACTAGTCTTGGTCATTCGACTTATCTGTGGTCTAAGTTAATCACAAATGGTCCTTTAATTTTTAAAATTTAATCAGCCGTGGTCCTCCTGGAAGGACCATAGTAGTTGAAATTTGATAGTTAAGTGACAACAGATGATTAACTTGGACCGCAGGTGATAACAATTTGAAAGTCGATGAATCACGAATTGTCAATTTTAAAGTTTAAGATTAAACGTGACAACACTACCATACTCAGAAGACCTAGATGGTATTAACTTTTTTTTTTTTTGTATAAAAATAAACCAAAAATAAAAATGGGAATTATTTAAATCGATCTAACCACATCTGAATTATAATTTTGTTAGGTGGAGACTTGAGATTCTCACCTAAATTACATTAGAGTTTAAATAAAAATGCGTCATTTATACATGGGTCTGTGGTACATTAAAGATAACTTGTGCAGAGTTGAAACTGGGCCCAGGCCCAGGACCAAGCCCAAAGGAACTTGTAATGTGCAGGAAATATTTGAAGATGAAGTGCTTGGCAGACAGTGGGACGGCAAATTATGCTATGCATCCGAATGCACCATACATGGTGCATACGGATGCAAAAATGACGTCATTTTGCATCAAAACGTGTGTTCTACTTTAAAAAAAAAAAATCAGTTTTGATTTCCAGCAACAACATTATGTTATTCATTTTTTACTTCATTCATTCTAAATTTTTAGTTATGAAATTTTGGATGTATAGTTATGTAATTCTGGATGTATAGTTATGCAATTCTGGATGTGTAGTTATGAAGTTATGGATATGTAGTTATGCAATTCTGGATTTATAGTTATGAAATTTTGGATGTGTAGTTATGCAATTCGGAATGTATAGTTATGAAGTTATGGATGTATAGTTATGTAATTCTGGATGTATAGTTATGAAATTATGAATGTGATGAAATTATGAATGTGTAGTTATGCAATTCTATTTTTTTTTTTTTTTTAAAAAATTGACATCAAAACGATGTCGTTTTTACATCCGGATGCACTATGCATGGTGCATACGGATGCACAGCATAACGATCCCAGTAGAACCTACATATTCATATATGAGTGGGTCCGAATGGATGGCAGATTTGATTTGAGTATTTGACACTTTGGACGACGCAATTGGAGGGGCTATCCGTATAAAGTTCTCTTTACCGTGTCCTCCCGTCCCTTCCGATAGTTTTTTTTTTTAAACCAAATATTATTAATTAATAAGCAAAACATAAAGGGGTTGTAACACAAACTTTGGAGCAATTACGAGAATCAACAACTTTAACAAGTAAATGAGTCACTCGATTAGTATATTATGTTACTGTATTTTATATTAATATTTAACACTACTATCTACATCTATGAATAATATAAAGACTCAGTTTATTTTTGTCCATGACATTTTCAGGCAAATTTTTTTTCAAATTCCAACAGTATAAGGTGGATTCCGGCAAGATTAAAAGTCAATAAGTGTTTAAGTTAGTGAGTTAATTACCGATTTGGTCTCTCGACTATGAGGTTTTCACCAATTTGGTCATCGACTATCAAAAGTTCTCAATTTAGTCCCCCGATTATGCTTCTTTTACACGAAATGGTCCCCAGTCTCCCCAAACTATTTCCCATGAGGACTGACCGGAAAAAGGCCCAAGGAAAAACATTTCAAATCCAGCCACCAACTCCCCTCACCGTGAAAAATAGAAAGCCATAAAAGGAAGACCATGGTATCGTCAAGTGTTCTACATACCATCGGAATCCACACAGCCACCGGAGACGCACAACTTTCAGCGGGTTAGCACCAGAAAGTGACCCACACACCATGTTGCTTGAGAAAAACTCTCCGGTGAACTTGAGGAAGACAACTATCTTACTAACCATAATACCATCCACTCCATCTCTTCTTCTTCATGACCTTCATCTCCATCGCCTTCTCTAAAGATGCCGCCGTCATGTCCAAGCTCCTCGCCTCCCTCTCTCCGGCTCCTTCCGGCTGGTCCACCTCCGCACCATTCTGCACTTGGACCAACGTGAACTACGACAAACAAGTCTACCGGCAACGACGTCTCCATCAACCTCGACTCTAAGTGCGTCTCTAGCACCCTCCCTTCGACATCACCCAACTTTCTAATCTAGAAACTCTTTATGTCCAGAAAAACTCTCTCGCCGGAGCCTTGTCGTCGTTCGCCAACATGTCAAACCTCCAGGAGCTCTACCTGGACAACAATCAGTTCAGCTCAGTTCCCCAAGATTTCCTCTTCGGTCTACCCAAGTTGTAGACTTTCAGCATTTCTGAAAATGGAAATCTAGGCCCTTGGCAAATCCGTACTTACTTGACCGAAGATGATTTTTTAAAATTTCAAATTTACCATTGTAGTTTGACTAGAAAATTAAACTGAAGACCATTTCGTGTAAAGAAAACATAGTCGGGGGACTAAATTGAAAACTTTTGATAATCGAGGACCAAATTGGTAAAATCCTCATAGTCGAGGGATCAAATCGGTAATTAACTTTAAGTTAAGTGGATTGGAATGACTTTCTTATTGTACTTCACTATTGCTTCAGAGGCTGCCCATGCTTTCTACTGGTACTCCCTCAATTGCCTCAAGTTATACTCTCTGCCATTTAATTTAATTTTATTACAAAAATAAATAAATTGTGTGATAGAATTCCGCATAATTTATTAATATTAACTAATTTATTTATTTATTTATTTTTTTTATAATTGATACTTTTTGTATCAATAGCATCATCCAATTGGAATGAATGTACTTTATATGGAACTTGGATTGTTTGAACTCGAATGATATTATTGAAAATGGTTACAAATGAGGCCCTTTAGGGTATTTATACTCATTCCATCTCTTTAAATGAACGGTGGAGATCTACTTGATCATACACTATAAATTAATTTTTAGAACCTTCCATAAATCTCTACACAAACCTATGAATTTATAGATTTTAGAATATTCTATAAATCTCTACACAAACCTATGTAAATGCTTGTAGAAAATTTTACAAACAATGGGAAGTTATATAAAAGTGTAAGAATGATCTAGAATGATGTAGCAAACCTCAAAAATATGTAGCAAAGATGCACGGGTGCTACATTGTTTCATTATTAGTTTGTGTTTCCAATTTACCCTTATTAGATTGTGTTTCCAATTTACCCTTATTAGACCGTGTTTCTTCATCATTGCCAGTTCCAATTTGAAGTCCTTAAGTTTTAAAGTTTTGGTACACTTTGTACTGTTCTATTTAGATATTCGATTTTGTCAACTATAAAGCATGTTTGAATGAGCATGATAAACCAGTGCCTATGTGATCGTGCAATAGTTTCACTGACCATTTGCATAACGTGCATGTCCACTGCAAGTTAACTTTAACAAAACTCACTTTATATTTGAACCAGCTTACATCAAAATACACCCAGTGACGGACCCATAAATTTTGTTCAGTGGGGGCGAAACATTAGAACAAAAGGGATAGCTTAAAACAGATGAAATAGTTAAGAAATTAACCATAAATATTGTTAGATATGAGCGAAGAAAATATGTATAACAAAATATGAAACATAATTAATTTGATGAAATAATTCTAATAGAAAACACATTATAAATTATACATTTTATTATCAATAGAAAACACATTATAAATTACATATATGAAGTTAGTCATAAATATTGTTAGATATGAACGAAAAATAAAAAAAAAATATTTATAACAAAATATAAAAGACCTTTCTTAGACTTACACGCATATTCTACCATCTGGGCTAACTTCACTTTCATTAATATTAGCTTTTTTCATCTACTTATACTTAAACCTTATACTATATTACATACACATATACATACAAGAATTATATATGAGGTAGGGTAGGGTGAGTGGGGGCAGCTGACCCCACTGCCCTCATTGTAAGTCCGCCCCTGAATACACCTAAAGTTAGTAAAAATATACTTGAATTATCAACAAAAGAATATAAATTCTATTTGGAAGAGATTGGAAATTGAAAAAAGTGCATGCACTTTTAGTACTTCACCAATCACCATCAAATAGACAATTCAGAAATAAAAGAACGACGGGCGCGATTTAAGAAAGAAAACAAATATTGTGGGCGAAAACGGAAATATTCTAAAATTTACTACAGTACGACAGGCGCGTAGCGGGGGCTCAGAAAGGATTCGCGTGGGTAGAAGGGCTGCTCCGGATTGAACTAACATGGAAACTCACTCGCATATAATTCAGCAAAGACAATAATGCAAGTGTTGATAGGGAGGGAGAGAACAGCCCACATTCACTCTCCCTTTGCGCTCGAACCAAATTTTGAGCGATAATTGAAAACCCTAATCTCACACAGTAAGACTTTTTGCTACTTTACGGGCTGCTGATTGCATATTTCAAACGACCACTGAAATTTCAGCTGTCTTAGGAATTTCTGCGATCTGTTTTGCTTTTGTTGTTGCTTTTTTAGGTATTCCGAGGGATGAGCAAAGAGAAGCCGCCGGAGCCTCTTGATTTCTTCATTTGGACTGTTGAGGTATTGATTCTTTTCTTCTTTTGATAATCATTCGTGTAGATCTCGTTATCTACTGTCGTTGTATTAAGCTCGAGTTTGTGTTTTTATTAGAAACCTTACTTCGAATCTGATCATTGGCTGTTCTGCTACTGTTCCGGAGCTGTTGATTAATTCTAATCTAGTACAAGTTGAATAGATGAAATTTAGTGTTTTTAGGTAAGTAAGCAATTCGAACTATGAATATAAGTGCTATGTATTTCTGTGGAAACACTAGACAGGGAGAATTTGGGATTTGGATGGCTGTTGCAGTTTCTGTTTGGCTTATATATGGTGGAGATTTTTGTCTGGTTTAAAAATGTTGCACCTTAACGTGATTGAAACTCAAATAGTCAAGGATAAAACATTGGGCGGAGGAGTTTATTTTCAATGTGCCTGTAATAATAATGTACTTTATGAAATTTTGGCAAAGAGTATTCTAAAAGTGAGGTTATGGATTGTAGAACACTTTTTAGCTTATTTAAGTATAGAGTAATCGATTAGTAACTTGGAAGTTATTAATGAATTGTTCATACTCCATAATCATAATCTTTGTCAAACGGTACCGATGACTGGCAATAACTACATGATTGTTAGTCCATTTATCTTGGAGGTTGCTTTGCTCTTTGCTATAATTACTTCTAAATGAATAATAATTTCCTTTCAAAAAAAATGAATAATAATTTGTATTTCAAGCAGACTCTTCTTTGTAAATAGTTAAGGTTTTGTAAAAAGTATTTACTGATTTAGGAGAAACTAAATGGTCCGTTTTTTAATTTGTGCCAATGGAATGTGATGCACTAAGAAAAGTTTTGAGAGCATAAAGTAATCCAACTAGTATAGGAAAAAGACAAGTGCATTGGATATAGCCATATAGGATGTTCTGCTACAAAAAGACACTGAGTTGGAATGCTTTAAGAGATAACTGGATGCCAAGTATTTAGGTGGTTTTACCACAGAATAGACCAGGGTTGGAGTCCATATGCAACAAGTAGCACGCATATGGAAATTTTTTCTTTCTAGAACCGTCTCTTTATTATTAGAGATTGTTTTAGTCTTTTAGAAGCCTCTGGCCTTATAGAGTCCTCACAAGCATGCACACTAATTTTTTTACCTGTGCCTTAGGAACATCTAGATGGGGAGGGTTTTGCATGTATGGGCCAAATTTTGGTGCTAGGCATCTCAGTTTGACCTAATAGGGCCAATTTTTTTTGAGTCATTACTCATTAGTTAACAAAGGAACTACAAACACTCCTCAATGCTTATAGGTTATTCACCCATTTTGAAAAATTAAACAAAAAACCAATGGCTGAATTATTCAGACCCCTTTCTTTGTGGAGTTAAATAAACTGAAGGATATTTCTTAAAATAACTCAAAATTACTTTGTACCTTTTTAATTGTTTTTTCCTCCTTTTGGTTGCCAGGATGTTGGTTTGTGGTTGGAAGAAATAAATCTTGGTAGCTACCGGCAAATTTTTAAAGAAAACGGTGTCAATGGAGAGTACTTGGAAGGAATGTCCATGTTCACAACTGAACAGATCCTACGGTTTATAAGAAGATGCCACATGAAATGGGGAGATTTCATAACATTATGTAAGGAGCTTAGGCGAATAAAAGGTCTCTCTCTCTCTCTATTGGTACTTCACAGTTCTTGTCAATAACCATTTTGTTGCTGCTTGTTAAAAGTTTAGAAAATCTCCAGCTAGCTCTTTGAAATGGCAATGAAAAGGATCACCTGACATTTTAGTCTTGCCCATTTCAATTGAAATAATGGTAGAAATGTAGAATGGCACTATCATATGCATACACCTGAAAAGGTTATGCCATAATTGACAAAAACAGTTCATTGGTGATTATTACGGGCAAATGGCCTACATGCTTTTTGTTGCTGGCAACCAATTTTAGGAGTCTCAAATTCCTAATAAAGCACAGTTGGACATTCTAAGTGCTCTTAGTGTTCCACTTGTTCTGGTTGAGTGAACATAAACCCTATTTGAACTTTAGCCACATAGTTCTCCCATTGATGAGTGCTATTTCTATTCCCCCCTTATACCAGCTACTCCAATTTCATCTTTACTGATTCGAGGCTTTTTCTTCAGTCGCTTGCTTAAAGGGTGAACAGAAAGTTCACCGACCATGGTGGGCCCCCTCGTGCCTCTCTGCAGTCTTTGTCAAGGCAGCCAAGCGTAACCAGCAGTCAAGAGTTGTTTCATTGAAGCTAGAACCTTGACTTGGATGTTCGCAACTGTATGTATACTTTTACTTCCTGGTGGAAGATGCAGTAATAGGGAAAACTTTTTTTTTTTTTTTTTTTTTTGGTGTGGAATTTCTTTGTGTTTTTTGATGGTGTAAGTCGTTTGTTGTGGCTCTTTTGGGGAGAACTACCTCTCTTGTCCAGCCCTCTTATACGTAGCTTTTTAGTCTGTTCACTCTGTTGTAACAAAAGTGTGATGAAATCACGATCATATAAATTTAGTTTTACTTTCCGACTTGAGAACGTCCTATAACTATAAATTTATTAATTATTTTAGTCACTGGCAGCTTATTAATTTGCACGAGTTAGAACTTATAAGAACTACTAGATTTCATTTTTGGTAGAAGTCTAAGCTTAGCCTCAATTAGGTTCTAAGCTTTTTAAGGACTTCAATTTGATTACGTAGTTTACAGTTAATTTAATCTAGTCTAGTTTCAATAAATGTCATTTTCATCGTTTTTATTATTATTATTATTATTATTATTATTATTATTATTATTATTGACAAAACACAAATATAGTATTTATTTATGAAATATCAACGTTATTCTTATTAGTTTGATCCGAATAAAAATAGGAAAGCCAAAGCCCAAGTTCATAAACAATATATGTGGCACACATACATGTTGCAATCGTATACCAGAACCATGACGGATGATACACATTACAAATTGAATTATTGACATATATGTTTATTTTTAGTATATTACAAATTTATATTAATATATTACATATTCATTTTTAGTGTATTATTTAAAAATAATATTGGAACAAAATGTCAAATATGCCATTCAACTGCATAACAAACTGCAATTAGGCATCGAACTAAAAAAATATAAAATTGGGTTCATGAACAACACAAAATAACCTGGACGAATAATTTTTTTTACAATAATTAATTTAAAAAAAAAAAACTAGAACAAAATGGCACGAATTGCCTCCGGTCGGCTTCGTCTCCCTGGCCATGGAGACGACTAGAGACGAAGGTCTTCGTCTTCAGCCGTTCTGTTCTAGTTTTTTTTTTTTTTTTTTTTTTTTTTAAATTAATTAATTATTTTATTTAAAATTATTTTTAAAATTGGTAACCGTCACGTCAACATACTTTCAAGTAAACAGGTCATTTTGGATCTAATTGCATAAGTTTGTATTATTCAGGGATCTAATTGTATTTTTTTGAATTCAATAACCTAATTATAATTTGGTGTGCAGTTAAGTGACCAATTCCACTCTTATTCTAGTAAAAAATTTTAGTACATTACAAATGAATCATGAATATATTAAAAATAAATATTTTATCATGTGGACGGTGTAATTTGTGTATATGCTGAGTTATTACAATGAAATCTTATGTGACACGTGGCGCAACAGATACCAGTATGAGGAGAAGAAAATCAAGGAGGGAATCCAAATCCAACTTATCCATGGAATGAACCAATGAGGTGCGGCTTAGGTGTAGATATTGCAATCCACAAACTATCCCAGTTTCCATATATAACACTCCGCCCGCCCCGATTTCTATTCACTTCATCCATTCGCAACTGCATACCATCAACTCCAACAGAAAGCTAAGAAGAGCAGAAGAATCATCATCAATGGCGAGTTGCGGTATCCAACAATCAGCATTTGCTGGGCAGAGTGCCTTGAAGTCCCAGACCGATCTCCTCCGCAAGGTCGGCAGCTCCGGCAGTGCTCGCTTCACCATGAGGCGTACCGTCAAAAGTGCTCCCCAGAGCATCTGGTACTAAACTATATATAATTACTCTCATCTCTCTACTTCATATCCATATCCATATTCATATTCATATTACAAGTATTTTCCGATCTTACCTAATTTAATTAGATATATATCCATTATTTCTGATATAATTAGATATATCATACTTGATTGGTGTCACTTGTCAGAGTAGATTAGTAGATAGCAATATCCACTATACTATATTTAGGGTTTCTATTTTTTCTTTTCATGAGATTAAAAAAAAGCATCATAAAAACCTTGAAATTCTATACATTTTATTTGTTTACTATTACTATTATTGGATGAAAATTTTAAGAAAATTACAGGTATTGAGTCTTGTATTATATTTTATTTTTACTAATTTTAATAAAGCAAATGATAAAATGTTTTTTTTTTAAAAAAAAATTAATATGTTTCGTAAAATAAAAAATAAAATGAGGGTAAATACTCTGCATATGCCATAATGCGTTGGGGAGAATTTATTATAAAGCGGAGGCTATTTTGGTCAACTTAATAAATTATGTGTGGATGAAAACAGGTATGGCCCGGACCGCCCCAAGTACTTGGGCCCATTCTCGGAGCAAACTCCGTCATACCTTACCGGCGAGTTCCCCGGCGACTACGGGTGGGACACTGCCGGGCTTTCAGCGGACCCAGAGACCTTCGCCAGGAACCGCGAGCTGGAGGTGATCCACTCCCGGTGGGCCATGCTGGGCGCTCTGGGCTGCGTGTTCCCGGAAATCCTGTCGAAGAACGGCGTGAAGTTCGGCGAGGCGGTGTGGTTCAAGGCGGGAGCCCAGATCTTCTCGGAGGGCGGATTGGACTACTTGGGCAACCCAAACCTGATCCACGCCCAGAGCATCCTGGCCATCTGGGCTTCCCAGGTGGTGCTGATGGGGTTCGTGGAGGGATACAGAGTCGGCGGCGGCCCGCTCGGAGAGGGGCTGGACAAGGTGTACCCCGGCGGCGCCTTCGACCCACTGGGGTTGGCCGATGACCCGGAGGCGTTCGCGGAGCTGAAAGTGAAGGAACTGAAGAACGGGCGTTTGGCTATGTTCTCCATGTTCGGGTTCTTCGTGCAGGCCATTGTTACCGGAAAGGGCCCGATTGAGAACCTCTTCGACCACGTTGCTGACCCGGTAGCTAACAATGCTTGGGCTTATGCTACAAACTTTGTACCCGGAAAGTGAAATCACTGATGATCATGAGTGATGTCATTACTTAATTACCTCTTCTGCATGTGAATTTACCTTTCTGTTCCTGTTAAAGTAATGCAAAATCCCACTATCTTCTATGGTTAATATGGTTTCCTCCTTTTCATTTCCCTTTTTGCCCATGCAAACCTCCTCCTTATTATTATTATTTTGGATATATTCCATATCAAATATTATCAACACTTGAATATAAATATTAAATACAAAATTATTGAGAAATAAAAAGTGGAAAGAGATATTTTGACCAAGGACCTTGTGGTCCACTGGTACTCGGTTGCTCTTCTAAATGGAAGGTCAAAGGTTTGAACCTTAATTGCGGTTGTAATGTGTATATGTAGGGTATCCCCTTCGTTATAAAAAAAAAGTGTGATATTTTGAATTTTTAGAAGCTACAATATTCTATTTTTTATGAAATATACTTTTCCAATATGAAAGTATAGACTCTTTGATGCCACCTTGTTAATAAAAAAAAAAAAATTATTATCTTATATAAAAATGTAGCTAAATATAATTTGACACTAGTCTTGATCGGACCCTAGTCCACAAATGATAACAATAAAGTAAATCGATTTAAGTTGCTTATAATTGGTTGGCTAAAATCAAGAATCTCAATAGTTAGCTTCATGAGAAATTGAATTTAAAATCTTGTAATTATCAAATTAATTGTGACTAACTTGATTGAGATTATCTTGACGGAATAATAAATGAGAAAAGAAAGTAATTTTAAAAAATAAATAAATAAAGATATCAAGAATGTACAAGGAGGAGGGATAACTGGACCATGAGCTCCAAAAATCTTATCCAGTTTCTTTAACTACTAACCCCCATATATCATTATATCCCCCTTCTTATCATCTCCACCACTAAAATATCCAGTTTTGTACGGAAAGAATTGAAGATGTTCGAGCACATAACAGCAAACGAAATTGCAGGCTATGGAGTAGGTGCTTTGCTACTCTGTTCCACCATTTATGCCCCCAAGATTGACTCTTTGGTAGCTGCTTCTCAGCGCAGGTGCGTATACTTTCTCTCTTCTCTTCTCTTCTCTTCTTTCCTGCATAAATGAGAAGAAAAGACAATACTTTTGTACTGTGTTATTGATTCTGCAATAATGTTCTTTGTATGGGCAGCTCGTTGGGCATGTGCAAGAGATGCGGCGATCTGAAGCTGATAGCTTGTAGGAAATGTAAGGGGTCTGGGTTTATTAAACAAGGGGGAGGACCATTCAGTCTCATCTTTGCTAATGATGATCCTAATTACCAATTAGTTGGCTCAAAATCAAGAATAACACACTCTTCTTGCTCCGAGTGTAAAGCTAGAGGCCATTTTCTGTGCCCAGACTGCCCAAAGCTGCCCCAATCTTGATCTTCTGCGTTTCACCCTCAGCTTATGTCATGTATTATTGTTTTCCCCTCTTATCTGCTTTGTGTTTAAGGATTTATATTTCTTCTACAGCCTTGAGACATAAGGATTAGTCTTAATTACATGATTGTCCATATTGCTTTTCTATTCTTTTTGAGTAAGAAGGAAACTCATACTCACTATTGACTGTGTGTTAAACCCGTCTTGTGATCCTAGACGTCAAAAGGACCACCAGGAAGTAAACCAGCCTAGCAGTCGAACTTGTAACATTATAGTTCCTAAGTCAATAGTTTGATCCACTTGGCTGTATTATTATAGGAATTGATCAATAATTCATATGCAACAAGAGTTGTTTATTGTATTTAGTTTGTGCAAGGACAATTCTCATTTGCAGTCCAATAGGAGAAAAACAAACACTAGTTCTTTTATTTGGTTAACTGATTTCCCTAATTTTTACAGTGGGAAATATGTGATTCAAATAAAAGTAAAACAGTAGAAAATCTTGAAAAAAAAAAAAAAAAAAAAAAAAAAAAAAAGAAACAACGATTTGTAGGCCTAAAGATGCAGAGAAGTATCAACATCATAGTTTTCAATCTTATGTAGTGTGTTCAGGGTGGTTCTGTTGGCTGACCATACAGGTGGTTGATGTTGTTCATTGAAAGCTCGAGATTCTGGCTTGTTGGGGCACAAGGTGAGCCCAAGGGAGAGTGCTTCTTGATCAACTGCCTCTGAAGAAAAACCGATCTTTTGTTGCAAGTCCGGGGCCATGAGTTGATGAGGAGGAGGGTCGAAGAAAAGCTTCAGCTCCCTCATCTCTCTTTGCTCTCTCGCCCTCTGCAATTGCCTGAATCTTTCTTGCAAGAGAACGATCGAAGAACCCCCCATCACTGTATGATCTTTTCTTTGCCTCCCCATGAATATATAGAAGCTTAGATGTAATTGCTTCTGAATTGATATGAGAATGGAGATGTATAGGAATGGAAGAACGAGGATCAAGAATCCGTTTGTTTAGAGTGGGAATGGGAATGGGGATAAATAGGAGGGGAATCGAGATTTAATCAGATAAAACCATATAGTACAAGTACCATTATAGAATCTTTAGTTTTTGGCTTTACTCCATGGATTTTAGTTTATGGTAGCTTTGGTGCTAATGAGGATGAATCAGTGATGGAAGGCACAGTCCAAGAAGGAAAGGTTAGAATGATTATGTAAGTGAAAGCAGAAGGTTTTAGAAGAGAAAAATGGCAAGGGAAAATGTCCAAAAAGAAGATGAAGAGAGTAGTGGTTTGATGGAATAAAGAGAGGGTATCTGCTTGTCTTTATTGGCATTACAGAGTATAGGGCTTTTGTGCTTTTTGTTGTCTTTGTGTGTTTTCTGCAGAGTCTACTTTGCTGTCATCAGACCATTTTGTGTTAATGTTTTAGGTAGCGACTAAAACTATGAGGTATGTCATTTCTGCGGTTTGTCTTTTTATTGCAGAAACTATACAAAAATGGTGAGTGCAATGGGACAAATTAAGTAGTAGTAACATTATTGTCACCATGTTATTTATGGCGTGTGAATCACGTTTCGTGTCCATTAAAAAAAATAATAATAATACTTACCCCGAGTTCTATCCACATTATGTGTTCAAAAATCTCGTATCTTACATTACTTAAAAAATAACATTTTTGTTTTCAAGAATGTCATCTTTCCTTACGTTACGATTGACTACACTTTAACTAAAATGAGTACTCAATCCTACCAAATCCATATTATATATGTCCTTATTTGATTTGTAGGGATGCATGATTATTTTATAGTTCATTGTTGTTTAAATATTTTTTTTTTGTTAGGAATGATAACTAGTTAACTAAAATTGAATACCCAATTCTGCCCAATCATATTATATACTCACGTTTGGTTTTCATGGATACGAGATTATTTTATAGTTTGTTGTTGTTACATTTCTCATTAGAAATGATAAGTAGCTATTTAGCTAAAATTGAATACCCAACCCTACCAACTTATATGCCCTTTTATTTGGTTTTTAGGGGTGCTGCATTATTTTATAGTTTATCGTTGCTTACATTTCTTGTGTTAGGAATGCCAACTTGTTAACTAAAATTGAATAGCCAATCATATTATATTCTCTTGTTTGGTTTCCAGGGATGCAAAATTATTTTATAGTTCATTGTTGCTTACATTTTTTGTTAGAAATTATAATTGGTTAGCTAAAATTGAATACCCAACCCTACAAACTCATATTATATGCCCATATTTGGTTGTTAGGGATGCGGGATTATTTATATTTCATCGTTGCTTATATTTCTTGTTAGCTAAATTTGAATACCCAATCATATGGTTTTCGGGAATGCGGGATTATTTAATAGTTCATTGTTGCTTGCATTTCTTCCTAGAAATGATAATCGGGTAGCTACAAATTGAATACCTAATCCTACCAAATCATATTATATGTCATTGTTTCATTTGTTTGGTTTTCGAGGATAAGAGACTATTTTATAGTTTATATTTTACTTGTCTTTCTTGGTAAGTCTATTTGAATACTCAACCCTATCTGAATCATATTATTTGCCATATATGGTACAATAAACCAAATGAACCTCATATATTATTGTTCGAGCATCTTCATCCGTTAAATTTTTTTGAGAGGTTTTTTTACATGTCATGTAGACGAAAATTTGCTAGAGCTTCTTACGCACACATGCAACAGCAATTTCTATTTTTTTTTTCCCATGTCATGAATCCCACAAAACTTGAATTTGCGTGAATTAACAATTTTCTCCTACCTATCATCTCCACTTAACCTAAAAAAATCTTGCTCTCACCTAAACTAAGAAATCTTCAAAAACTTTCAAGACATCACTCATGGTGATGCTCTTATAATCATTAGCTCTTATAATAATTATAATTAATGACTTGTGAAGTCTTGGGTGAGGGATACCTCTAAACTCTCAAAACCTCAATTGCATTGCTTTTAGAAGCCTTCAAGCATAATTCAAATCTTTAAATAATCAATCTATAATGCAACAACAAGCTTTCTTTGAGTATTTTAATTCAGTAAGGGATTAGTTATTGTGTCCGGTAGAAATTTTGAATACACTCAAAAAAACTTTTTTCAAATAAGAATCAAATGTTGCAGTGCGAGTCAAGCTAAATCCAAAATAATCTTACAATAGTGAAAATATCGAATGCCATATGCCAAATTTTTATTTTTATTTTTATTTTTTTTAAAAGGAATCTTATTAAAAACCAAAACAACGTCATGTCAAAACCCAAAAGTGACCAAGACTACAAAGAGATAAAAGACTACAGCAAAGAGGCCTAAGGCTAACTAATAAAGGAGATAAACTCTAAACCACCAAGTGGGCCCAACATCCATTCTACAAACCACCTATATTACATGTAAAGCTGGACAATTCCTGGACGTCATGCCAAATTTTATTTGTTTTAAATAATCAACACATGTAAAAAAAAAAAAAAGTTAGTGGCTTATTGATGGAAAATTTAAGATATTCAAATAAATATTTTAAATATACAAATGTATGTTCAAATATTGTAGACACCATTTACTACTTATATTCATCATCAACTTTAATACAATATTTATAAATAAGGACATTTTAAATTAAAAATGAAATGTTTTTAAAATAATAATTAAAAATAAGATAAATCAAAATTAATAGTTAGTTAAAAGTAAAAATGTTATTACAAATTAGACAACTTGATTGAACTATTAATTTGATAACCACAAAGTTTCAAATTCAACTTTTAGTATAAGTATCTTAATATCGAGTGCTGACCATCAAATAATTCAGATACATTTTTTTTTTTGAGTACTTAATTAACTATTAACATACGATTTTTTTTAAAAAAAGTTCTTAAAAGTGAAAATGTAGTAGAAAAAACCCTTAAAAAAAATCAGCATGTAGCCTTTTAGGCGCAGCTCGCCGTTGGTCTTCACTCTTCACGGGCCGAGCGGTCTGCGGTCGCCGGTTGAGACTCTTAACGCGTTTTCATGTGAAAGTATACAAAGACTTCATAAGTCAACGACGTGTTTGACGATCCAGAAATGAAATCGTCCCAGCAAAGGTCGTTTACTCCAGTCAACTATCCTTAAAAAAATGGAGTTTGTCCTGCGCGCTCCCAAACTGCAGGCGCAAGACACAGAGCAAAGGCGGAGCATACCAATTTAGATTAAGCTTCCTACTTCAAATTCAATTTTTCTACCTAAAACCTAGTGGATCTACGTCAAATTTGTGGCTGTGCTGAGTAGTAGGTTTACATGCAGTGTCGTGCTTACTAAGGTTATAAAACAAACAAAGTCATTCATCTGATTTGCGCATTTCCCCATCCATCTTTCTCAGCTACAACTGCCGGCTCTTCTGGGTATTCTTTCTTTTCTCTCTTTTTTCCATTTTCGTGGTGTTTCTTGAATTTCGCCTTTCTGTCTTCATTTTTTTTTTTTTTTTTGGGTGACAAATAGTATTGCAAGGGTAGTTGATTGTTGTTTACTGCTATTATTTCTGGTTGGGAGATCAGGAGATGGGATTTTATGGGATTCATGTTTTGAAGTTTTATGATTTCTTTTACCAGTCTTTTTGAGTTTTGTTTTATGTATTATCAGTTCCTGAATTGCTCTGGAGAATGGAAAATCCTGGAAAGAAGGTGTTGCTTACCTCTAATGCTGATGATGTCTGCAACAATATTGCCTTCCATTTAGCTCAGCGTGGTTGCCAGTAGGCTCCCTATCTCTCTCTAATGCATCTGTTATAGAAAGTTAAAATCTTTTACTCCGTATTATATTAATATGTGAATATGTGAAAGAAGTATAGCTAATATCAGATAGATCATTTCAAAGTAAAAGGTCATTTTTAATGCTATCCCGTGACTAAGCCATAGGTTCTCCAAAGTTAGAATGGTATGTATATGATTCTAGGAAAACTGAATTGTTATTATTTTTGGTAATCAGATTGGTTTTGGTGGGTAATGAAAGAAAATTGAAGGGAGTTGCTGAAATGATAAGGCAATCTCTAGATGGCAGTGTTGTGGTGGAGGTGGTTGGCTTGAATATGGAGGATGAGAGAGAGATAGCTTTTGATGAAGCAGTGGACAAGGCTTGGAAAATTTTGGGCTATTTGGATGCTTTAGTGCACTGCTATTCTTATGAAGGTAAAAATTTAAATATCTAGGGTTCTGCAACCTGTCTGCCCTTCTTCCTTCAGGGACATAGGGATGAAAATGAAACATTAATGTTAGAATACAAACATTGATATTTAATGTTTCTTGACTTTATATAATGATAAATGAATTTGAAAAGATCATGAAAGATTAGGATGGCTTCTGTAGGTATGCATATCTAAAGAATTTCTTTTACTATATACAGCTATATGGGTGGTAACTTATCTGTATTTATATATTATTTGATTACTTACTTTGTGCTACTTGAATTCTTTTAGGAGCAGAATTCTATGCTCATTCTTTCTCTGTGGTTCTTATAAGTCGTGAACCTTTTCAAACATGCTGCTTGATAAATGGTTTATCTATATGCTTACATACAAGGATCACTTTGCAGAAGTTTGTTTTCTATGTCCAGTGTCTGAGTTTTGCATCTTATGTAGCTGCCATCTTCTTTGCCTTAAGTTACACTTATTGAATCATATACTGTACTATTTTTTAACCAAGCTGCTTTGTCACTTCTGATAAAATGCAACAGGGAAGATGCAAGATCCTCTTGAATTAGCCGAAGATGAGTTCAAGAAGATAGTTAAAATTAATTTCATGGCTGCTTGGTATTTGTTGAAATCTGTGGGTAAACGTGTACGGGATAGAAAATCTGGAGGATCTATTGTATTTTTATCGTCAATCATAGGTGCTGAGAGAGGATTATATCCAGGAGCTGCTGCATATGGTTCGTGTTTGGCTGGAGTGCAGCATCTAGTCAAGGTAAGCAATTTTCATGATTCATCAATAGTTGAGCACCTGTTTCAATTTGTATTATAAGTTAAAAGCTGCATTTTTATCATGTAGCATTACTCAATGAATCCTAATCTGTTAACATTATAGAGTTAATCTATTTATTTGCTGGGATTTGATGGGTGACACTAGCGCCATTGAATTTACAGTTTTTGGAGTAGAATTTAGTTAATAAGGAAAGTACACTGCCTAGTGTCGTGACTTTGCTGTTTCATGACAATTTTTGCTTAATTGGTGTTTTACTTTTCCAGTCATCTGCAATGGAGATGGGGAAGCACCAAATAAGGGTAAATGCAATTGCTCGTGGCTTGCATCTCCATGATGAGTATCCTCTATCTGTGGGAAAGGAGAGGGCAGAGAAGTTGGTCAAGGATGCTGTGCCTCTAAACCGATGGCTTGATGTCAAAAAAGATCTAGCTTCAAGTGTCATCTATCTGATCAGTGATGACTCTCGCTACATGACAGGAACCACCGTCATTGTTGATGGTGCCCAGTCTTTAGTAAGGCCTCGTTTGAAATCGTATATGTGATGTGTTTTTGCGCTGTATGTTGTGGCACAGAAATATGTCTACTGGCCTATATCAGAGAATAATTACTAGTACTAGCAATGAATGTAGTTAAACCCTTGATAAAATTGTCTTGTACTTGATATCTGAAATCTGAATAATATATTGGTGTTTTTTTTGGTCTAATTACTTGTTATTCTTCAAGCGTTGTTTTAAGTTGCCTTGAGAAAACAGCGCTGATTAGAAAAATAATTGATTATGACCTTACTTGAACAGGATCTGTTCTATAGGCTCGTACCTCTGTATCCTTGAGTTCTAAGGAGACAGAAAAATAATTGACTCTATCCTGAATGGAAAATTGTGCCCTTGCTCACCAAAGAAATAGTTTCAGAACAGAACCAAATGGATTGGTCTCTATGCATCAGGTCAGAATTTCAATTGTTGAATTGAAATATTTAGAAAATTTTACCAAACACCTCTTGACTGCAGTGTATGACTGTAAGCCCATTATCATTTACCATCTTCTATCACATGGATGTGCTGTGATTTTGGACTACCATATCATGCAGTAGGCATTTATAGAATCTCCCTAACATTATATATCTTCTCACATGATATCAGCAGTTAGGATTCATCATTCGTGTATCCTTAATGTTTTTCCCTCCATTCTTTCTACTTCCTCCACTGAACAGTCTTTTTTGTCTGTATTATATCTATTAATTTTTCTCTCCTGTAATGTTATTATTCAGTTTTTCAACAATAAGCAAGTTGTTTTTCTACTGCTCTATATTTTTTTAAAAAATGTTTGTTTACTTTGAAATCATAAATTGTTGACCGAAGCCATCAAAATCACAGCTTGGACTATGTGCGCCAGTTCTCAACAAAAATCTGTGGAAAGTGAAGAACAAACCAAAACTGAAGAATTTCTTCACAACTTTCACCTGTAGAATGAATACATTTTGAACAACATAAAGAATTATTGACTTGACCAAATCTTGTCTGGGTTTGAGGTTCCTTGGTAAATTCGTTCTTTTAGGTCTAAGTTTGCTATAAATGTTTGAGCATGGAGGAACTCTCAAGCTTAGAGGTTGAAAATGAGAGGAAAAAACAGCAAGAGATGCCTATCCCTGATTTTGGCTATTTGTCTTCTAACATCATACAAAGAATTGTCCATGGCAAATGACATGAACCCCACAAAAATCCCTGTTAAAATAGGCTTGATTCTTGACAAGAGCTCGTGGGCTGGGATGATGGGGCTTAGCTGTGTGTCTTTTGCCCTGTCTGATTTTTATGCTTCCCATGGTTACTACAGGACTAGGCTGGTTCTGCATTTCAGGGATTCCAAAGATAGTGTTATTGGGGCAGCTTCAGCAGGTCCTTTCTTTCTCTTTCTCTCTTGTTTGGTGCTTTTAACACTTAATAACCTGTTCTCATTTCTGTACAGCTTCAAACTTGATAAAAGATGTGGGAGTGCAAGCCATTATTGGTCCACAGACATCCATGCAAGCTAATTTTGTAATTAGTCTTGGAGATGATGCTCAAGTGCCCATTGTTTCGTTCTCTGCTACAAGCCCCTCCCTTTCCTCACTCAGGAGTAAATTTTTCATCCGGGCCACCTTGAATGACTCATCTCAAGTAAAAGCCATAAGTTCAATCATTCAAGCTTTTGGCTGGAGGGCAGCTGTCCCTATATACATAGACACTGAATTTGGAGAAGGCATTATGCCTTACTTAGCTGATGCCCTGCAGGAAGTTGAAACTCACATCCCTTATCGGAGTGTCATCCGTGCCTCCGCCACTGATGATGAGCTTGTAGCAGAGCTTTACAAGTTGATGACGATGCAAACCAGAGTTTTTATTGTGCATATGCCACCAACTCTTGGCATTCGTCTTTTCAACAAAGCCAGAGAGGTCGGAATGATGAGCGAAGGTTATGTCTGGATTATAACTACTGGTATAACTAACCATTTCAGCTTGGTGCATCCTTCTGCCCATAGTTCAATGCAAGGGGTCCTAGGAATAAAAGTCCATGTTCCGAAAAGAAAGAAACTTGAAAATTTTATTCTTCGCTGGAAAAGGAAGTTTCAAAGACATAGTCCTGTAGATTTGAGGGTATTTGGGTTGTGGGCGTATGATGCTGCCAGAGCTCTGGCTATAGCTACTGAAGAAATTGTAGCTAGAGAAATGAATACAAACAACCTGATCGACTCACGGGACTTGAAGGTAACTAGTCTCGTCTCTGAAATTGGTAAGCATCTTCCTCGAGCATTATCAAGGGCTAGATTTGATGGCCTTGGTGGGGATTTCAATATTGTTAATGGTGAGTTACAGTCATCATATTTTCAGATAGTGAATTTGATGGGTAAAAAGTGGAGAGGAGTTGGATTTTGGACGCCAAGGTTGGGGATTACCAAGAAACCGAATGCCCCTATTTCAGAACAACACGATTCTACAAAGGTCAATATTAAAGCCATTGTATGGCCGGGAAATGTTACCTCCATTCCAAAGGGTTGGGTAATACCAACAAATGGCAAGAAGCTCAGAATTGGTGTTCCGGTAAGGAGTGGTTCTAATGCCTTCGTAAATGTGATAAACGATCCTCATACTGGCATGACCACATTTACTGGCTACTGTATTGATGTCTTTGATTCCGTGATGGCAATGCTGCCCTACAATGTTCCTTACCAGTATGTTCCCTTTGCTTTTCCCAATGGTAGTAGTGCTGGTTCATACAATGACTTGGTCTTTCAGGTTTATCTCGGGGTTAGTTTATTCCTTCACTTGTTCTTTGTTAGTTTTTTTTATAAAGCAATATTCTCATTGTTGAGCATATAACCATTAATGTGCAATCTAACTATCAGCTTAAGCTTTTAGTTGAGATGGAGCACATGCTTCAATTTGGTATCAGAGTTGTAATTAGGTTTAGAGTGCTATACCTCTTGAGCAGCTCTCTCTCACTGTCTCTCACACCTTTAGGGAGGATTTCAGCTCTCTATAAATGTAGGGCTAGAGGACAACTGATATGGAAGTTTCCATATACCTCAAACTCTAATTTCTTGATTTCCTAATATATAGGATTCTCAATATCACAGAATATTCTATAACACTCCCCCTCAAGTTGGAGCAAAGATATTGATCATGCCCAACTTGTTACACAAATAACTGACTCGGGTTCCAGTAAGGTCCTTCATGAATAAGTCCCCGAGTTGTTCTCCTGTCTTCACAAATCCTGTGGAGATTAACCCTTGTTGTATCTTTTCACGTACAAAATGACAGTCAATCTCTATGTGCTTAGTTCGTTCATGGAACACCGGGTTTGATGCAATATGAAGAGCAGCTTGGTTATCACACCATAGCTTTGCAGGAATTGGAGCTTTGAAACCAGACTCATACAAAAGGTTGTGTATCCACATCACTTCACTCGTTGATTGTGCCATCGCTCTATATTCAGACTCTGCACTCGAACGAGAGACTACATTCTGCTTCTTGCTCTTCCAGGAAACCAGATTACCTCCAAAGAACACACAATATCTAGTAACAAAATACTTATAACCGAGTTTAGATGTCACAGAACACGGACCCCAAACATCAGAATGTACTAACTCAAAAGGAGCAGACGCTCGTTTGTGAACTCTAGGACTCAAATGCACACGATGGTGCTTAGAAAACTCACACGACTCACAATGTAAAAAAGACAAACTAGAAAACTGCGGACACAATTTCTTCAACAAGGGAAGGGAAGGATGCCCCAAACGACAATGTGCTTCAACTGGAGTGACAGCACCAGAACACGCAACAGACTCCGGCCTCGCTGTGTCAAGAACGTAGAGACCTCCAGACTCGCGCCCCTTACCAATAACCCTCTTCGTCATAAGATCCTGAAACACACAATGATCAGGGAAAAACGTAACGGAGCAATTCAAAACACGAGTAAGACGGCTGACTGAAATTAAATTGAACGAAAAATTAGGTAGGTGCAAGACAGATGACAAAGGAAGCGTGGGGATTGGCGTAATGGACCCAGACCCAAGTACACGAGAGGAGGATCCATCCGCTAAGGTGACAGGGGAACTATGTGGATGGGAAGAGAGCGTGGAAAATAAACTAGAGTTACCTGTCATATGATCTGTAGCACCCGAATCTATAACCCATTTGGATGAGGATGAGAGAAGGCATGTGGTTGTATTACCTGAGTCAGCAATAGCAGTGACCAAAGAGGATGAATGTTTCAAGGATTCTTGGTACTGAGAGAACTTGGCAAACTCATCCGCAGAGACCATGACCGTTTTGGAAGATGCCTCAGGTGTATATGCAATATTAGCAGCAGAATTTCCCCGCTCCCTCAACCACTTCCTACAATCCCTTTTTATATGCCCAGGCTTATGGCAATAATGACATACAATACCACCAGAACTGTACCCCTGAGAATTTCTACTATTCCCACTATGAGGCGGATTGGATGATTGCCCCTGGGAGTTCCCACTACGAGGATGGCGGCCAACGAGAGCACTGCTTGGTGGGATGGTTACACCAGAAAGACTCGGTTGCAATTGCTCCGAACGAATCAAACGTGGGAATACAGCAGCCAGAGTAGGGACGTCTGAGGTACTCAGAATGGCAGACCTAGCTGTATCAAACTCAGAAGGGAGACCTGCCAAAAAACTCATAACAGCCAGTTGTTCACGTTGTTGTTGCTGTGTTTTAATGTCAGTAGTGAAAGGCATAAGCTTATTAAGCGCCTCATATGTTTTCTTAAATTCCATAAAGTATGCCATAAGAGATAAATCTCGTTTCTCAGCACGATAAAAAGACTTGCAAACATCATAAATACGAGTAATATTCCCTTTCCCAGAGTACAAATAATCCAAATACTCCATCAATTCCTTAACAGAACCACAATGACTAATGAAACCAACAATACTCTCATCAATAGAATTACGAATCTGCAGAAATAAACGTGCATCATCCCGCACCCAAGTAGGCTCTTGGTCAGCCAAAGATGATGTTAGGTGATCTGTCTTATCCAAACTAGTGAGATAAAGAGTAATGACTTGAGTCCATTCCAAGTAATTAGAGTCATTAAGCTTACAGTCCGTGATCTTAGAAGTCACAGGAACAATATCAGTGACAACAACAGATTTATTATCAGCCATACCCACCAAAACTTGAGCCCAAACAGATCAGAAACTACGCCAAAAAGTGAGCCTAAGGGGTACGAAACAACCTAACCTTAGAACCGAAGTGGCAATGGTCCAAACTAAGTCCGGAACTGAGACGGCAGGACTTAGGCGACCCTGGTAGACCTGACCGGAGAAGTTTCCGGTCACCGGAGCAGCCACACGCGCCGGCGCGTGACGGAGGAGGCGGCGGTGGTGGTGGCGCGTGAGGCCCACGCGCAGGGCAGAACACCGGGAAACGCTGCAGATGTGGTCGCCGGACGCCGGCGGACCTTTCTGAGTGGGCGGTGACGACAAGAGACCGCCGGAAAAAAAAATTTATTGAAGGGGCTCTGATACCATGTAATTAGGTTTAGAGTGCTATACCTCTTGAGCAGCTCTCTCTCACTGTCTCTCACACCTTTAGGGAGGATTTCAGCTCTCTATAAATGCAGGGCTAGAGGACAACTGATATGGAAGTTTCCATATACCTCAAACTCTAATTTCTTGATTTCCTAATATATAGGATTCTCAATATCACAGAATATTCTATAACAAGAGTCATCACCCGATAAGCGACTACGGTCCACGTGTTGCTTGGAACCCACTGCACACGTGAGGGGGCGTGTTGAGCATATAACCATTAATGTGCAATCTAACTACCAGCTTAGGCTTTTAGATTCTCATTTCTTTCATACTGTTTTGTGAGCAGAAATTTGATGCTGCAGCAGGAGATATTACGATCAGGGCCAACAGGTCTAAATATGTCGACTTTACACAACCATTCATCGAGTCTGGTATTACCATGGTTGTTCCTGTCAAGGATCGGAGGAAGGGAGCATGGACTTTCTTGAAACCATTGACTTGGGATCTTTGGGTGACAAGTGGTTGTTTCTTTGTTTTTATGGGGTTTGTGATATGGATTCTTGAACATCGAACCAATGAGGAATTTAGAGGCTCTCCTCATCAACAAGTTGGCACCGGCTTCTGGTTCTCGTTTTCAATCATGGTGTTTGCTCATAGTACGTAAACCTCTCTCTCTCTTCAATATCAATGTTATTGGGATATCTGGAATCCATTTCATTTATACATAATAACTGGTCGATATTTTCTTGGTGAATTTGTTTTCAGAGGAGAAAGTGGTGAGTCATCTTGCGAGGTTTGTGGTAATCATCTGGTGCTTTGTGGTCCTGATACTAACCCAAAGTTACACAGCTAGCTTGGCTTCAATGCTAACCATTCAGCAGCTCGAACCCGCTGTTAGCAGCGTGCGCGAGCTGACTGAGAGACGTGAAAACGTTGGCTATGCAAAGGGCTCGTTCATCCATCAACTATTAACAATGCAGATGAACTTCAGCGAGTCTCAGCTCAAAGCCTACGACACCTTAGATGAACTGGATGATTCTTTCTCGAATGGAGGTATATCTGCTGTTTTTGGTGAAATTCCTTACATGAAGCTTTTTCTGGGTAAACATTGCTCCAAGTATACCATGGTCTCACCAACGATTAAAACCGACGGATTTGGCTTTGTATGCTCTTTCTTTCTTCTGCTTTTCTCAAGTTATAATTATATACACTCTCATTCTTGGCATTTCTCCTTTCTCCATAGAAATGAAGATTTTCTTTGCAGGTGTTTCCAATTAGATCTCCTCTGGTGCCTGATGTATCACGATCAATCTTGAACCTGACTGAAGGAGGGAGGATATCCGGGATAGAGAAAACCTGGTTCGGGCAGCCAACAATGCCGCCTTGTCCTGATGAATCAAGCACAATGGGATTATCAAACAGCCTGAGTCTTCACAGCTTCTGGGGTCTATTCCTGATTGTTGGGATCGCTTCATCCCTCGCTGTTATCATATTTACATCCATGTTACTCTACCAGCACCGACGCTTCTTGAAGCATTTGCGCCCGAAAGACTGGTGGAGAAGAATTGTCTTGTTACCTAAATGCATCAAGAACTCAGAGCAGAACGATATTGAGGTTTCATCCATTAGTGTTGTTCATGGATTGCCACCACCCACCAACTGAATTCTTGGATTTTCCGAACCCCAAATGTTTGGGATCTGTCTCCTTCCAGAGGTGAAAGAGATTCCTTACAGTGAAACATAGATTTCTAAGAACATGATGCGTTTTGCAGGAAGATATGTAAAAATCTTTCTTAGTTCTTTTTGAGGTTTTCAGAAGAAACTAGCAGGTCGGATTTTAACAGGTGTGGAAAGAATGCATGAGAAAAACATGTTGGAAGGATGGCTCATATTTGTTGACATTCCTAATGATAAACCCTTTGAAAGACTCTCAATTTGTAAACTTGAGAATTCATGATCACGATGAGTTGTTATTCAATCCGCGTAAAAGTTTTAGTTTTCTTAATATGCATTGAAGGTCCTTTGTGTTAGTTGTAAACACTAAACAGTCACCGACTTAAATCATTGACTATGTATTTGTTACCTAAGTTCATCATTCAGTCAAAATTTTGACAAAAAACAAGAGTAATATTGAAAATTCAAGCTTTTATTGTCCTTTTGTTATGAACCTCATAAGAGAGTTAAAGTTTGGTTGGGAATGTTGAACAAAGTTAGAGAAGCTTGAATTTTTATGGTATGAAATAAATAACGAGAGGAACTTGAATTTTTAACATTATCTTTGTATTTGACCGAAAAACTAACCAAAGAACCAAACCAAATCAAAGTAACAAATGCATAGTCAGTAACTTTAGTATAATCCTGATTGTCGATGACTAATTTTAATATGTGGGGAGAGTTGAAAAACAAGAATTTAAAGACATCATCTTTAAAAAAAACGTACAATTTATTCTATTGCTCACATAGTTCAAATATAACTAATATAGCTCAATTATCATTTTCTGATAAAAGTAAAAAGAAAAAAAATCATATTTTATCTCGAGGTCAAGACTCAATCAGAAGATTGTTAACAAAAATCAAACTCTTACTATGATAAGGAAAAAAACCTAATGGAAAGCAAACTCACCCCAATTAATATGCAATTCATAGAGAGTTGTCAAAATGTATTGGGCTTAATCCCTTAATTTTTGCAGAGTTAAAAACAGTCAACTTACCCAAACCGCAAACTCGCAAAGACCCAAACCCACCGACTTCGAATTTTCTTTCTTGGGAGCGAGGCATTGCCAATAGACTTTTCTGTTCTCTATTCTATACAGAACACCCACATTCATCCGCAGCCTCCAATGGCTAGCAGAAAATTAGTTCGGGATTTTTTGTTCTCCAAAACACGACCCATTATCCATCAGCTATTAGTACCTCAGCAGGTTTCTTTGCTTTTGTGTTTTTTGTGTTTTCGTTTTCTTTTCTGTTTCTTTTTTCCCAAGTAAAAATGTTGTTTTTACGTCGTGTAGGTGGGTAGAGGCGCAACAAGTTTAAGGTTGGTCCAGGCATATGGCTACGCGGGTAATCGCCAATTCAGTGTATTCAATGAGTTCTCTCAGAAATTCAAAGGCGAGTTTAACAGGTAAAAGTTCTTTCAAAGAGGGAATTGCTTAGTTTTGTACCTTTGTTAACTTGAATTATTGGTTTTAGATTTTAAAGTTTGTATCTTGGATTGTTTTAATGGTGTTATATGTTTGTTTAAGGTAAATGTATGCTCAGAACCTGGGCTAGCAAGATCAACTCTTACTGGTTCAAGTTGTTAGGGGCTTGTTATTGTTTTTTTTTTTTTTTTTGAATGTTACTAGCTCTATTACATTGTAGTATCTGTTCATATACTTTCTCAACCTACTGAAACACAAAGAGCTAATAATGCCTCCACTGAGGCTCGAACTCAAAACCTTCTAAATAGAAGTCCAACCCGGATACCATTGGACCACATAGTCCTGGTAGGGGCTTGTTATTGTTAATTTGCTTTTATCATAAATACAGAGAACCAACAAAGAAAAAGAAAAAGTTGCATTTTGTTCTCTTTAGTTTAGAATGTTAATATTAATTATCTGTTAAAGTAGGGAGCCTTATCATTCGTACTTTGGTTGAGTAAATTTTATGAGTGTTTTTGTATTTGCTTCTGTTTTCAAGTCGTTTCTCAATTGTCTGGGTTGCAGAAACAAGGAATTCCAACAGTCAGTCAAGGAACTGAAAGAGAAAGCAGAAGAACTGAAAGGAGTTAAGGAAGATCTAAAAACAAGGTAGCTTATGACTTAAAATATAACTATGAATTGTAAAATGCTCTGGCCTTGATTAGAGACATAATGTTGTATGTTAAGGCTGGTGGGAATTTCGTATTAGAACCTGATATGGTGAATTGGAAAATGCAGAACAAAGCAGACTACCGAGCAGTTATACAAGCATGTGGATGGTGTCTGGACAGAGGCTGAGTCTACGGTGAAAAAGGTAGAGATGCAGGCTCCTTGTATTGCTTAATGAAGTAAATCAATCATTGCTTAGATTGCAAGCAAAATTTGAGTTAAAGTTGTTGCCAAAGTGATGATTCTTCTAAGAACTGTAAAATCAGTTGTTAATATGTACTCCCAATATTTTAAGCGTGTTTCAGTATCAAAGGGATTATATCGTTAATTGTGATTACTGATTAGCAACTAATGTCAATATGGTGTGCTAGTTGTTTCCTTCTGATTTCTTACATGTTTTGCTGTAGGTTTATGCAAATGTTGAGGAAAAGGTTTCTGCTGCTAAAGAAGAGGTTTGTACATATCAAGTTTGCCTTGCCTCTGTTACGGGGGTGTGTTTGGTGTTTACTGAGTAGTGGATAATTAAGTACTCTCTATTATTTGTAGGTCAAAGAAACTTTTAAATTTGAGAAGCAAGAATCTCGAGGATCAAATGTTAACTCTGACAGTTGCAGCTCAAATTCCAAAGACACAAAACATTCTACGGGAGAAAAGCAGCAATCTGATATTCGTGATACTGCAGAAACAGTTTTTGGCAAGGTTAGGTATGCTGCTTCTTCCTTTACTTCAAAAGTCTCGCCATCCATCCAGAAACTAAGGGAAGCAAAACCGATTGACTTAGCAAAGAAGGGGTATGCTATTGTAGTGGATGAATTGAAAGGTACTGCAAGCAAGAGGAAACACCTTGAAGCTCCTGTAGAATCCCCACAAGCAAACATTCAGCGGAGCACAAGGACTGACGTTGTTGTTTTACCCTCGAAAAAATCCAGATGGAGTAAGAATTGGGAGGCTTTCAAGGAAAAAGTAATTTACTTATGCACTCATAGTCTTTGAATTGGATGTGTCAGTATAATCTTATTGGCCTTTCCAAAATTCAAGATTGATATCAGTTATTCTTCTTCTCAGATGCAAGGCCACCCCCTCTTTAAGCACATCAGGGGAGCAAGTGAACCTGTAGTTTCAAAGAGTCAAGAGGTTCGTTGAAACACTGAATCCTAACATAATGTTTGTATTTTATAGTAAAAATTGGAAGCTGCTCTTAAGGCCTTATATATGGCTAAACCTGGATGCAGTGTTGCAAAAATCGCGCCTAGGCAGTCGGCGTCCTAGGCGCTCTAGGCGGTCCCCAGGCGCCTAGCGATTTTTTCAACATTGCCTGGATGGCTGGATATGGGTTTTACACTACATCAATACTTGCGCACATATAATAACAAAAGAAAAATATGAAGAGACAAAAATGCCCTTACTAAAAATAGAAAGTCATAAGGACTAAAAGTTTCCAAATTCCAAAAGATAATAGTCTGGGATGTTAAATGGCAAAAACGATAGTCTGGGGTTAAATTTGGAATTGTCACCAAAAACAATGGACTTCTGGTGGAATTAACTCTTTCTAGATGCTACATGTTTTTGACTCTCTTGCAATATGTCTGTTAATTGATTTGGTGTATGTGCTGAAATGGCAGATTGCAGAGGATATTCGGGAAAGATGGGAGACTAGTGATCATCCTGTGGTTCACAAAATCCAAGAGTATGTTATAATTCTCCTGTTTTTAGGGTTGTATATATAGTTAGTGTTTATACGAAGAATTAATAATTTTCCATTTCGATGCAACAGTTTAAATGAAACCGTCTTTGGGGAGTCAAGTACAGCAACGTCATTTAAGGAAATATGCCGCAGAGATCCGTATGCTAACGTGCCTTGTTTTTTCTTCTTATTGCTCCTGGTTTCTGAATAATGTGTTGTGTTAATCTGAAGTGGGTTTCTTCTAGGACATTCTCTTTACCAGATTTTGTTGTGGAGGTTCAAGAAGTGATCAGACCAGTCCTTGAGGGTTTCTATAAAGTGAGTTGATAAAATCTCAGAATAGCTTATGAATCGTTTGGCCCTAATTATGTTGTTTACATCAATGGCTCCTTTTTGTAGCTTTTGTTTTTTGCCTATTTAAAACAATAATTAACTGTTTTCAGGGAGACATCGAAGTACTGAAAAAATATTGTAGCTCCACGATGATTGAGCGGTGTAAAGCGGAGCATCGTGCTTTCAACAGCCAGGGTTATGTTTTCGATAATAAAGTAAGAATACACGTTACGAGTTATGACACAATTCTGGTTTAGTTTATGTTTATCTCGACATAAAGTAATTCACTTTGCTGATATAATCCTCCTATTTATGCAGATACTTCATATATCTGAAGTTGAAGTTCGAGAGACAAAATTGATGGGAGAAACTCCCATAATCATTTTAGCGGTACACACATTTTATCAGTCTATTTCTGACATTTGGATAAATATCCTCCTTTTTCCCTGCCCAGGGGAAAGATCGATGAAGATGACTGAAATACTGATTGGTTCTTTTCCTTTTTTTGGGATCGTGTCACAGTTCCAAACACAGCAGGTCTATTGTCTACGCGATAAACTGGGATCCATAGCCGAAGGGGGGAAGGTAATTTATGAAGTACCGTTATTATGATTTTTGCGACAATTTCAAATCTTCATGCATCAAGATTCACAGAACTAGTTGAGATTGTTGAGCATATAATCATTAATGTGCAATCCAACTATGAGCTTAGGCTTTTAGTTGAGATGGAGTACATGCTTTAATTTGGTATCAGAGCTAGACCAAAGGTCATGGGTTTACTTGGAACCCACCGCACACGTGCACACGTGAGGGGGGCGTGTTGAGCATCATGACTAGTTCACAGATCTTTTCCTCACATTCTTGGATTCTGAATAGAATAATTGTTTTAATCTCACCAACTCTGGTTCCGCCTTCTGATCAGGACGCGATTCACACTGTATACTACGCTTGGGCGATGCAACTGGTGGATCCAGAAGAGGTTGGAGAGGGCGCAATTTATCCGGTTTGGCGGCTCAGAGAGATGCAACAGTTTGGTGTTGCTGCCCTTATATAACACTTTGTGCCTCACCATTTGAGTGGAGATAGCTGTTGTATCAGCCTGTTTGCAGTTCATACTCTCCTGGTGGTGGAGAAAATTTTGGCAGAGAAACTTAATTGTTATAACTTATAAACTGAAAATTCCCATCTTTTTACTGCTGGGTTCATTTGTTGACATGGTCCTCCATGATCACCCTAACATTTTTTCCATTGTACTGTGTATCTCCATCTTCAATTATCTCATAAAATAACCACTACCATCTGTTTCATATGCATTGAGTTTTATATAAAGGAGAAATCGCGATTTTGGTTCTCTTGTTTTCGAGCTATAAATCTAGTATATTACAATATTACAAGTTTCACTTTAATAAGAACGGTCTATTTATTTTCTTGATTTGAGTTGATTAACTATTGATAACTTAAGTTGAGTTGTGATCAATTTTTTACTGACTAGTAAAAGTTAAGAGAATAAAAAATGAGTAATATTCTTCGGTCACTCAAAAGAATCTTGAGGAGCATGAATGATGAATTGATGATGACCCAGTTACTCTGTAGTGATACAATTTTCTAAGCAAGTTGCTGGAAATTTCGTAGGCAACATCGTACCAATACTCGGTCAACGCCAACAAAAAACGGATGACATTTATAGGGCTTTTTATATATTTCCGCCTGAGAAAAAACGCAATCTTTCTCCCCGAAACGATCCCTAAACTAAGCACGGCATTAATCTTGGTCTGAGCTGGGTGAGTATCATCAATTCTCCGTCTATTATCGTCCTCTGTTCCCTCTCCGTCGGTCGGAATGTTTACTTTTGAGTTTTGCTTCAGTTGACTTGTTATCTACTTCTCATTTCCAATCAATTCTGTAATCTGTATGTATAGTCGTATAGATGTTCATTAAAATTGCACGGTGGTGTAGAATTTGCGTTTCCATAAGTTTCACTGCTGTAGCTTGTTGCTGATGTTTGGTTGATAATTGGATGTGTATATGTGTTTGCTTGCCTATTACGTGTTTGATTGATGTCCTGTTGATTGTAGGCTTTAATTTGTATGAGAGGGAAGGCTCCTCAAGGCTGTTTGATTCTGTGATTGAATATGTTGTTACCCGGATCAAATCCCGATCAGACACGGGAGATGCCTGCGGAGAGTGCTGGGTCTGGAGATACACGGCCTGCATCTGGTATTAGGCTTAGTAAATTGGAGGTTGGGAGTGATAGAGTGGAAAATGGGGTTTATGAGCAGTCTGTTGTGCATAGACTGTCTAGTTCAAACAAGGTTTCTCTGCTGGATATAGCCAGAGAGAGAGTGGATGTTGTGTCAGAGAGAATGTACTTGCTTCCTGATGAGTATTTGGAAGAGATCAAGGGTTCCCTGCGAGTGATGCTTGAGGGGAATGGAGGTTCTCAACAGAGGGATGAGTTTATGGCGTTGCAGAGACTGGTACAGAGTAGGTCTGATTTGACTGCCAATGCATTGATAAGAGCTCACCGGGTTCAGCTTGAAGTTCTTGTTGCTTTAAGCATGGGGATCCAGGCGTTCTTGCATCCGAGTGTTAGCCTCTCGCAGACTTCCCTGATTGAGATTTTCACCTACAAGAGGTGCAGGAATATAGCGTGCCAAAGCCAGCTGCCAGCGGACGAGTGTGCATGTGAGATATGCAATAATAGAAGAGGCTTCTGCAACCTTTGCATGTGTCTGATTTGCCACAAATTTGATTTCGAAGTGAACACCTGCCGTTGGATTGGTTGTGATTCATGCTCCCATTGGACTCACACTGACTGTGCAATTCGCGACAAACAAATTGGCATGGGACATTCTGCCATTGGAGCCACTGGCTCGGCTGAAATGCTTTTTAGATGTCGAGCATGCAACCAGACATCTGAGCTTTTAGGCTGGGTGAAAGATGTATTCCAACACTGCGCACCAACCTGGGATAGGGAATCGTTGCTGAGAGAACTTGATTTCGTGAGTAGGATTTTCCATGGTAGCGAGGACACAAAGGGAAGGAGACTCTTTTTGAAGTGCAAGGAACTCATGGACAGATTGAGGGAGGGAGTGGGGGAGGCAACTGCTTGCAAAGTCATTTTGATGTTCTTCCAAGGTACATCCATTGCCTTAATCCTCTGATAGCATATCCACACAATCATTAACTATTGACAGTTCGGGATACTTGCATTACCTTTTATGCTATGTATGCTCACCGTGGCAGATGTTTATATTTTATATATCTATGCTGACTGATCACTATAGCCCGATTGTGGAGAACTTGAATTCGATTGCTTTCTGCTAGTTTAATAGTACCTAGATAAAATTCTTCACGGTGTAATTAAACTATCAGACATTGGGAACTTCTATGTTCGCCATGTCAACAGGTCAGCGAATCATATAGCTCATGTCTTAGCACGGGCTTCCGATTCTGTGTCTGGCTTAGGTTCGTGGTTCTCTGTGCCACCGGCCTGTATCTCATCCCTTATTAATGCTTAATGAAGTTTTCATCTTTTTCTCAAAAAAAAAACTATCCTACTACAGCAAGATGCTTATTCCATGCTACATCTGAACTTTCTATGTTCAAATAATCACGTCATTCAGAAGCATTGAAGTTGTTTACATATACGGAGTACTTTATTACTTTCCTTTTTCGTTAACCACCTTTTTCCCACTTTCAATGATAGTTTTGATTAGGTAGGTAAATTATTGGAAAGTAGATAGATCATAGTAAGTGAGTTAGTATGAAATAATAATAGAATATCGAGTATATGGTTATTTTGATTAATGTACTCACTTTCTCACAGAGCTCGAGATGGACTCATCGAGGAAATTTGAAGCCCAGAATAATGGAAGGATGGTCCCTGCACAAGAGGCGTGCGGCCAAATTTCAGAAGTAGTGCAGGAAGCGGTGAGAAAATTGGAAATGGTGGCCGAAGAAAAGCTGAGGATGATCAAGAAAGCGCGGCTAGCTTACGAGTCATGTGACCAAGAACTAGAGGAGAAGAAAAAGGAAGCGGCAGAACTGAAGCTGGAGAGGCAGCAGAAAAGACAGCAGATAGATGATCTCGAGAGCATTGTTCGACTTAAAGAAGCCGAGGCTGACATGTTTCAGACCAAAGCTGATGAGGCACGACGAGAAGCTGAAAGGATACAGAGGATTGCTCTTGCAAAGTACGAGAAATCCGAGGAGGAATACGCGTGTAGATACCTTAAACTCAGGCTGAGCGAGGCCGAGGCCGAGAGACAATACCTCTTCGAGAAGATGAAGCTCCAAGACAATCCCCGCGCAACAAAAAGCAATAGCATTGAGGACCCTACACAAGTGCTTCTCTCTAAAGTGCAGGAAATCCTCAAGAATGTGTAGCTCCAATTTAAGTTAATAGAAAACCTCCATGAGTGTAAAATACTTCTTACATTGCTTCTGTTATTGTAATTCGTTTGATTCAATGTTGTGGAACAACGTTTGAAGGAACCTTTACATAGTTAATGTGGTTGTGTTGAATAACTCCTCCTGCTTCTATCTTCTTGCTCTGTCATCCTCAAGAAAAATGTTGCTAGTCTTCTTACTAGAAAAATCTCGTTTGAGGTGACGCGTTATAATTGATTGTCAGCAATACTCAAAAAAAAAAAAAAAAAAAAAATTTGTTCTTCGACAATCAATCAATTAAAATTTAGAGTAATATTATTTTTATTCCTTATTTAAGGAAAATACTTGGTGTACTCCCATTTTAAACTTCCAACTTGTACTCCCTCTCACATGCTTTTGATGTAGATACTTTTCAGTGGACCCACATGATGAAAATAACGAATCCTGGTTTGCCACCTCAGAGAGTATAAATAATGGAGTAAATTTTGGGAGTCTATATAGTAAAACTCTTTACTTAATTTACGTAATATTTATTCTTTTTTTTTCCATTAGTAAAACTATAAGCTGTGATAAAAGTTTTATTCTGTATGAACACTTTATTATTGTATATAAGATTTGTTCTACATAACGGCATATAATAATATTTTATTTTATTTAAAATTCATTCTCAATTTCTTAATTATATACTATGGATAAACCAAAAAAAAAAAAAAAAAAAAAAAAAAAAAAAAAAAAAACCTCGTCCGACCCACCAAAACGCTGGTGAATAAATTTTTATTTTTTGGTACAATACAAATAATTAAATAAAAAATGTAATGGAAAAATATTGGGAGAGGGAGAGAATTAGGAGAAAAAAAATGAAAAAGCAGATATTTTTATTGGGGGGAGAGGGAGGGAAGTCGTGAGTGGGACCCAGAGTGACGACGTTGACGTGTCGATCTGAGTTGCTCTCGCGGGGTTTTTCCTACAGATGTCTACAAAGATGATTCGCCAGGCCTAGCTGTCGCGGGGCCCAGCTGTTAGGTCACGGTTCTCAATGCGCTGAATAAATCGGCGATTTGGAATTTTGCGTGCGGCCCGACTTCTTTTTGGCTCCTCGACCTGACTTCAATGATTTTGGAACTATGTGGAGCCACCTATCATATAGTAAAGCTAAATGTCAAAATTTTATGGGACATTCACCATTTTGCACTCACAATGAATATTCACTTTATATTTTCCAAACAAATTCTACCAAAATATTAGTTATTATAATTTTAAAAAATAACAGAAAGTAAATTTATGGGATAATTAAGATTAGTGTTAATTGTCGGGCTGATAGTCCAATTAATACTAATGAGTGAAGAGCAGTAAGTGATAAATGAAACTCAAGATTTTTACGTGGTGAAAAAAGAAAAAAAAAAAACTATGTGTTTTTTTTTTTTTTTTTATGGTGTCAAGCTAAAGAAGTAGTTCTACTATTTTATTGTAATGTTATATGTATATAGTGTTGAAAATTTTGATTAACAAGTGAGTTAATAGAAATAGGACATATTATAACACAAAGGTTTTCAAGTTACAAGTGAGAACTAGTTTACAAATTACTAGAGTTTTTATGTAATTGTAAATGATTGCATGTATATTGAGTGTTAAGACTCGCTATTTATATATATTTAGACAATTTGTCTTATAGTTTTGGACACTATAAAAAATGTGGGTGGCATAATCTAGCATGTAATGCATAGTGTGCTTATGTTTCATTGCCCTGTACTAAGTCATTTATCTACGTTGTGCTAGGCTTTGAATTATTAGACATGCATCCCTATATAAAATATTTTGCATGGTTATGTACTTTTCAATTGTGTCGCACAAATATTGAGTTTCCTTTTGTGTAATAAATTGGCTATTAATATTTGACTTTACCTAGATATTATAACTCTAGGTAACACAATATTCTTCCCAATATATTTAGGTGATATGTTGATATTATATTAATTAACAATATTGAAAAGGAAATACATTAATACTCAAATTGTAATACAATTAATGAAGTTTGGGACACCATTGATAAACTTGTCCTTAGCTCAAGAGATAAATTCTTATTCGATGGGAAAATTTGCCTCATTTGGCATTTAAAGTTAACATTGATGAATTTTTTTTTGAAAAGACATTGATGAAATTAAAGTGTCAAAAGAATGATTACAACAGAAGGTGTGATAAGGGATTGCATTGGGGATCCCTACTCATAAATGTAATACTACACGTCACCTAATATATGTCGATTTTTAATTTACTGATGTATAAAATATTATATACGGCGGTTATAGTAAACAACCGTCGTATATATTATATTAATTTTTTAAATTTTTAAATAGATGTATATACGACGGTTATATACGTAAAACCGACGCATATGTATAAAAAAAACGTCATAGTAACTATTTTCTGTATTAGTGCATGCACATTCATACATATTCTTAGGGAGACAAATTTAATTTTTATGCACATTAGATAATCAATTATCATAATTCTTCTTTTATTGACCTTAAGATCTTTAATCATCCTCCACATTTTAAATTTATTTGCTCACATTGTTGCCATTGCTAGATATAATTTTGTTTAACTTTGTTGTTTTATCCATCCCTTCCCTTATATAATAAGCAATTGTAATATATTAACTTTCATCATATAATAATTATAGTACTTTTATTTTATATTCTAGATGAGCCATTATATGCAATAATTGTTGGACGTATAATATTCCAATATAATAAACGTTTATAGTACTCATGGTTAGTTCAATGATGGATATTTAAATGACAAATATATTATAAAATTGTGATAAATATTTACAAGGAGTTTACAAGTAATATGAAAAGTTATAGCACATAACGTAAAAATAGTTTTATTTGTATTTTTGTTGTTTAAACCTTGTACTATTTTAGGTGAGCTAATAAATGTAATTAAATGATACACTATAATATTATTTGTCAATTCATAAATTTGTAATAACTATAAATAATCATTCACCTAATTTAACCATATTAAATTATTTATTGCAAACAATTTGAAAACAAACAATATTTTTTTTAATGAGTTAATACCATCTGAGGTCCTCCGAGTATAATGATTTTGCCACGTTTAGTTCTAAACTTTCAAATTGATCATCTGTGGTCCTTCGACTTTTAAATTTAACCATTCGTGGTCCAAGTTAACCACCCATGGTCCTTCAAGTTTCGAAATTTAACCAGTCGTGGTCCACTTGATAGGACCATAGGTGGTTCACTTGGACCACTAATGGTTAAATTTGAAAGTCGAAGGACCACATATGGTCAATTTGAAAGTTTATGACTAATCGTGACAAAACTACTATACTCGAAGGATCTTGGATGGTATTAACTCTTTTTTTAAATGTAATTTATAATAACTTTCATTATCCATCATAAATAAATAAATAAATAAATAAATATATATATATATATATATATATATATGTATGTATGTATGTATGTATATATATATATATATATATATATATATATATATATAAGTAGGGGTGTTAATACATGCCAATTCACTTGACGGGCTAGCTTGTAAAGCTTGCAAATCAAATTTCTTTAGCCCTGACTCATACTATGTTGGTTGGCGGATCTCAAAAACAATATATATATATATATATATATATATATATATATATATATATATATATATTTATTTATTTATTTATTTATTTATTTATTTATTTCATTCATCCAAAAGTAAAGAAAAACGTTTTTTTTTTTAATGGGGGATTTTACCCACCATAAAACACTAAAAATAGTGAGTGAAAATTTTCAATCAACATATACAGTGGATAAAAAGTTAGATAGGCGAGTACAACAATTAGATTTTAAAATAAAAAATAAAAAACCGTCCACTTTAACTGATAAAAAAATCCAAAATATTTTGTTCGCTAGCTATTTTGAGCATGTAAGTATATAACCCTACAAAGTTAATGTATTCACTTAAAAGGATATGGATTCATTCATACAAAATCAGAACTGCTGGTGAATCTATTTAAAATCATGTATCAAAATGTTGTGCGTTTACCAGATTGGTCGAGTTCAGCTCATGCTCGATTTGAGACGTGATATTATAACTTACAATGAAGAGATGTATGTGACTAAACGATTAATTTTCACTTACTTATTATCAATTGGTTTTAAGTAGTATATGACAACCAAATAATTAAAGAATTCTATGATTAAGTGTGTTTGACTTACAACATTCACAATAATTTATTATTTTAGTAATCAAATTTTCAACTATTTCGTCTAATTAGAAAATTGAGTATATGGGAATAAAAAATTGAGTATAAAAAAACGTGATATTTTTGTGGGCGATGAATTCTTGACATGAATAAAGTTTAAGCATACATTGAATGTTTTTTTTACTTTTAATGAAAGGGAAATGGCAACGTTCATGGAATATAAATCAATTAAACACTGAAGCGTGTCCAAAATTCCAAATAAAAAAAGGGAATCTTCTAATCATGGCATTGGTATAATTAGATTAGTTTAATGTTGCTTTAATTAGTGCATTTCCTTTTAACTACCCTTTGCCCTTTATTTTATTCCCTCTAAATATAAATTAAAAATAATAATAATTCCCAAACAAAAGGATAAGTCAGAGGGGTTCATAACCGACAAACACTACCCTAGATGCCCCCATCCTCGTATGTCATTCGAATAAAGTGTAGGATAACCATCCCACGTATGATGGCGCATTTTAGCATCTCCCATATGTTCCCGAGTAATTCCCGATCTTTCCTTGTGATGCCCATGTCTCCTCGCCCCGTAGGCCGAATCCTCCTAAAGCAAAGATGCTCTTTTCTTCCTTAATAATAATATTCTACGAAAATATTTATAAAAAAATGTCGTTCGATAATTAATATTTTTTGAGGGACTCGAGTCTGTTTAGCTATTGAAAATGGTTTTAAAAAAAGTCAATTTTTACAATTTTGAAAAAAAAAATGCTATTTTTTCTTGTTGGATGAAAAAGTATAGTTTCACCAACCGAACATTGTAATTAATTTTTTTAATAATTTATTTTCCTTTAAATTTTAGTTCAATTCATAGTCAAATATTTTTCACAAACTAAATAATTAACAAATTGAATAATAAATGGAACTTATAATTTAATAGGTTGCTCTTAGTGAGAGACGACTTGAAATCTTATGATTGTCACATCCTTTTGTTATGACATGCTCCTTAGATTTACGAATTCGCAAGGGGCCTCAGGCCCTACTTAGTAATAACATGACCAAATTGATCATAAGAAGGTTAATCTTATGTGATAAATTTAACCAAGAGGGTGTTAATAATAATTAAATTTATAACCTTTAAGTATTTAGTAGCCTGGTACTCTTTTAGATACTAATATTATTATATTACACCTTATTGATAATAATTTTTTAATTTGGTTTACCTATATTGGTATATACTCGATAATAGATATAATAGTATTGTGTGAAAATTTATTGGTACGAATTGGTATTAATAAACCCTTTCTATATTTAAGGTGTGTTAGGTAGTTAGGTTCATGAGTTTATACATTATTATTGTTTTGTTGATAACTTTTAAAATACAAATATGAGACTTGATAATCCCTTCAATTAAGAATCTCATTCCCTAAATAAAAAATGTATCATTCCATGGTAATTTGATTTTTATGTTTGGATTAGTGCTTTTAAATTTTTATTTTGATTTTTTTGTTGTGCAATTTAATTTTTTGTTCATATTGGTGTATTGAACATCATTATATTATGATCAATTGTCTTAATTTTTTATTTTTATATTTTTAAAACTTTTATTCTTATACATAACCAAACATCAATATTGGTAATCATTCTAATTTCATCACATTATCAAAATGCAAAATACTTTTACCAAAACTCATCATTACAAAGTATTTGATTCTTATTCCGATTCCGGATCTATTTTTTATGTGCGAACCAAACACACTTTTATATTTATTATATATGTATTTTTTTCCTCTTCCCCATGTGAGCAGGAGCTGAGCCAGCAACAACTGGCTCTTTCCATAACCACCCTTTTTTCACCATTCCTTTCTCTGTCTAACTTTATCTCTCTCTCTCTCTCTCTCTCTCTATATATATATATATATATATATATATATATATATATATGTTCATGCAGGTACGGTATACATAGATACGTATGCAACAAGATTATTATATACAGATGGATGTTATATATACACATACGGCTAGAGCCTAGAAACTAAAGAAAGCAGTCAGAGGCAGAAAAAGCAACATTGCTGTGAAACTTCTGTCTTTTTAGAACATCCTAGTTTCAGATGAGTGAAAACGCAAATATAAATTATAATTTTAATTTAATTTTTTAATGATATGCTAACATGGGATTCATGATTGTATTATTCATTAAACAAAAAATGGTCAAATATTTTCTCCAATAGAATAACATATAAACATGTTCAGACAAGAATTGTTTGGAAAAGGGATGAAAAAATTTACTACCTTAATATAGTACAGTATAAAGAAAAATGGTGAAATAGTTTGCATTATTATTTTTTTATTGTTTTCATTTTTGTTTTGTTGGGTTCTCCTAAAGTTCCCACCGGATGATGAGATAATGATGTACCCACCACCACAGCATATGCTCCTCAAAACCAAACTGGAGAGAGAGAGAGAGACTTTTAATCCCCATTCTTATTATTGATTCCAGTTGGATTTGCAGTGAAACCAACTGGATTGGGTTTCATCCATCTCATTTTTCACAGTGGAAGATGATTACGAGATTTTCTTGAAAAAAAGCTGCGATCTTGATGCTTCTCTTTCTCTTTCTTTGGTGGTGTATGCTACAGAAAGCAGGGCTGTGAGGAAGGCTCTCTGAATGTAGAAAAGAAAATGGGCTTCTTTTTCTTCTGTTGTATTAATGATTCCTCCACAGCATACAAAAATAACATCTTTTGGTTTGGCGTGCTTGTCTTTCCTTCTTCCTCTTTGCTCTCCAAAACGGGTAAGGCTTTGATGGGATTTTGTTGTTCCAGTTTGTGAGCATACTTGGTTGGTTACACGCTTCTGAATTGACTAATCGGGTTGGTTATCCCTATTTTGTGGTCCACTATACGCTTATTATTTACTCCGAGAGAGAGAATTAAAAATTTGTGTTTTTTGGTTGGTGTAATGAAATTGGTGTGCGGAAGAATTGACTGAATTTGAGGGGTCAATTAATATCATATTGACTTTTGATGAGCTTCTCTGCTGTGAATGAGTTTGGTCTCAAGTTCTCAAGGCTATATCTGAATATGTGTAATTGGGTTTTGGTGAAGATGTCTATGAACTGTAAAAGCCATGGAATGAAGGGAGGCTTCTCTTCCAAATTCAGGCTCAAGAAGCCAAGAGAATCCCAGCATGGACCAAGTCCAAGGAGGAGGCAATTCTTGTTTCTGTGGCTCTTTTTTGTTGCCATTGGATTCATTTGCTTGTTGATTAGTTCCTCTTATGGGAGTTTGGGGAGGAAGAAGGTAGAGCCCCCCCCACACTTGGATGGAGATACCACCAACTTTTTGCTTCAACATTTCAATGTTAGCAGGGAAGAAATTCATGCTCTGGCTTCCTATTTTCTTGATACAGATCAGGTCAGCTCTTCATTGTTTCAAATTTCCAGACTCAATTAATGTCATATCTCTATATGCTTAGACAGTTTTTCCTTTTTTTGGGTGTTGGGTATGCTGTTCTAAGATCTTGTTCATCATACTAAACTAGCAAGATTAGAACTTTCACTGCTGGGAGTCCTAACTAATTGAAACATCACTTTGAAGTTGAATTTAGTTAAACTGGGAAATTAGAATACTGATTCCAAAGAAAAAGTGAACAAGGTTTAAGGCTTCTTTCATAATATTTAGCTTTTGTGTAATTGGTGAAAGTGATGAATCCCTAATTTCAACGTAGAACTGTTATCGGTTAAAAAAGTTTGCTTTCGTTGTGTATGATTTTTATGGCATCCTTTTACTTATCAAGAGAGACATTTTGAATTATTATTATGATGAGTATAATTAGGACTGTTTATGATAAAATCATGGGGCGGCATTTGAATGTTCTATAAAGAGGGAATGGACGTGGGTTTGGGTTGATAGAAGGATAGGCGGCATAGACCTGGGGCCATATATTGGACATTGTCTCAGCCCTTGAAAGCATTTTGGGAATCTAGTAGCAAATAGGAATAAGATAATTTCTGAATTCTTAGATTCAAATTTTGTCGATTTTGAGAATTTTCATTTTCTACTTGATTTTCCTTGTCTTAGTCTTGATGATCAAATATTAGTCTAATACATTTCTTGTTACTAATTTCTATTCTGCAGATCTCATTGTTAAAATGTAGCGGAAGTCCCAGATATGGATCAAGCCTTAAAAACACTATTACTTGTGTTCTCAAAGTGCTAACTTCAGAAAACCAAGTTTATGAGAAAAAATGCAAATTGGGAGAGAAACTAGAGGCTTATGGCCAGTGTCCTGTTTCAGATGAGAACATTTTTAGGAATATTGACTCTGTACTACAACAGACATCATCTTCAATTTCATCAGACCATCAGTTTTGTGAAAAGGTACAGAGTTCTTTTAGATGGATAACGATGGTCTTGACCATCATGGCATCATGTGCCATGAAAATAAAAATAATCACATCTTTTAGTTCTTTTTGGTTTGCTTCGCTTGCTAGGACAATTGAACTTTGTATTTTCCCTCTTTCCTCCTTATTGTGATATATATTCCAGGAACTAATTCTTCTGCAATTTTATTTTTAAAGCCCTTTTACCCGTTGCACTAGTTTGCTAGATGTTGTGGCATGAATAGTTGCTTCCTCTCGCATGGGTGCACAGTGCCTCAATGTGTCACACATTTGAATTGATTCTGTAGATGTTCCCTTTTAATCTACCTGTAAGAGAAAACTAAGAACCAATCTCAACCTTACATCTGGAAAAATTAGATGGACCAGATCTGATTTTTTTTAAAAAAATGCAGTGGCATTTTCGTAATTATCACCAACTTTACTATGCAAACTTGAACACTAAAATCTGCAATTTTCAGAATTTTCCAGGTTTGCACATTTAGTACTAAAAGATTGCACTTGCAAAAATGCGAAAGTACATTGCACTTAGAGTTTCCATTTTAGAGTTTATGACTGCGTTTTTGGTTTTATTTGGTTTAGTGGTTCACTTTTTACTGCTTAGCATCTAGCATTTACGGTTTAGATTTAAAATTTAGCCTTTTCATTTATTTTATAAAATTTACCAGGTTTGCATATTTAGTTGTTAAAGATTGCATATTTAAGTGTTCAAGTTTGCATAGTGAAGTTGATGATAATTACAAAAATGCCACTGCATTTTTTACAGATGCAAGGCTGAGATTTGTTCTTAGTTTTCTCCTGGGGTGTGTTCTCATGGGATCCAAAGCATATATATATTTGTAATAAAATGACCTGATAAGATAAGATTTGGCAAATTTATATTTCCTATATCATTTACTTGCATCAGGAAACATTGAAAGTGAGAGCACTAGGGGATCAGTGTAAGGATATAGCCTTCTGTTTCACCAAGATATTCTGGTGGATCCTTCTTGGCATTGCTGTGAGCTGGAAACTGCGGTGGTTACGTGCAGAATCTGGTAGAAATGAACAGCAGAAATTAGTTTCGCAGCAAGAATCTTCTCAGCAACCTCAGCTACTACAACACTTGCAACAACAGCAAGCCCATGCTGCTTCTAGAGTTTCTCGAAAGTTGTGGGAAAAGCTTCTCGTTACTTTCGTATTATCTGGTGTGATAGGATCCATTTGTTTATTCTGGTACATGAATGAAGACATCATGTTCTGGAGGAAAGAAACACTGGCGAGCATGTGTGATGAACGGGCACGAATGCTCCAGGATCAATTTAACGTCAGCATGAACCATGTTCATGCCTTGGCTATTCTTGTCTCCACCTTTCACCATGGAAAGCAACCTTCGGCTATAGATCAGGTGATGTTGGTTCTTCATTAGCTTCGGGGCTGCAAAGAGTATATTTGATTATTTTCCATGCTATAATACCCGACCCTGATATTGTTTCCTTACAAGTTGCAGAAAACTTTTGAAGAATACACTGAGAGAACAGCTTTCGAGAGGCCACTCACAAGCGGTGTTGCCTATGCTCTAAGGGTTCTCCACTCAGAAAGAGAAAATTTTGAGAGGCAACATGGATGGGCAATTAAGAAAATGGAATCTGAGGATCAAACTTTGGCCCAAGAATATATGCCTGGGAATTTGGATCGTGCTCCTGATAAAGATGAATATGCGCCAGTCATATTTTCTCAACAAACTGTCTCCCATATTGTCTCGATTGATATGATGTCTGGAAAGGTGTGTTTTTTCTTGCACTGAGCAATCAGCATCCTTTGGGGTTACTGCTTTTAGTTACTGTTGTTACTGTTTTACAGGAAGACCGTGAAAACATATTGCGGGCAAGGGCATCTGGGAAGGGAGTCTTGACATCGCCTTTTAAGTTATTGAAGTCCAATAACTTGGGTGTAGTACTTACGTTTGCTGTATATAACACTCATCTTGCTCCCGATGCTACCCCAGATCAACGTATTAATGCTACTGTCGGGTAGATCATCTGCTTTTCTTGTATAGAGCTTAGATTAAGTAATTTTATTGTTCTTTATGACTTAATTACTTTCTTTTGATAAAGGTATATTGGTGCATCATACGATGTCCCCTCGTTAGTCGAGAAGCTTCTTCACCAACTTGCGAGCAAACACACTATTGTTGTAAATGTTTATGATACAACGAACACGTATTCTCCAATTAAAATGTACGGTACAGATGAGACCGAGACAGAATTATTGCATGTTAGCAACCTTGACTTTGGAGATCCTGCTCGGAAGCATGAGATGCATTGCAGGTTAGTATTGTGTAGAATTCGATACATGAGAAGTGTAGTTAACCGTACATTTGTTTAATTGATTGCTTGCGTTGCTCATAGGTTCAAGCAAAAACCTCCCCCGCCCTGGATAGCAATAGGAGCTTCGATCGGTGTTCTTGTAATCACCTTGCTTGTTGGTCATATATTTCACGCTGCAATAGCTCGGATTGCCAAATTTGAGCATGATTATCAGAAGATGATGAATCTCAAACATCGTGCTGAGGCTGCAGATATTGCAAAATCCCAGGTACCCCTGTTGAGCATATAACCATTAATGTGAAATCCAACTATCAGCTTAGGCTTTTAGTTCAGATGGAGCACATGCTTCAATTACCCCTCGATTTCCTTCGAGGCTTTTCTAGAGTTCTTTTTTAAAATTTTAATGAGCATTTCGTCTTCTGCAGTTTCTTGCTACAGTTTCTCACGAAATCAGGACCCCAATGAATGGTGTTTTAGGTACATAATCTCTTAATCCAGGACTCCTGTTATCCATGATTTGGGTAATAACTGACATAATATGTTTCGTTATTGTTAGGCATGCTTCAGATGCTCATGGATACAAATCTCGATGCTACACAACGGGACTTTGCCCAGACTGCTCATGCTAGTGGGAAGGATTTGATATCTTTGATCAATGAGGTATTGGATCAGGCTAAGATTGAATCGGGACATCTTGAGTTGGAAGCTGTATCTTTTGATCTGCGAGCTGTTCTTGATAATGTCTTATCACTTTCATCTGGAAGATCTCATGAGAAAGGGATTGAGGTACGAAATGGAACTCCCCGTCTCTTATAACTTTACGTATGTTCATATATTATTCCAGCTGTTTTTCTGCTATGATTCTTACCATGGTTTGAATGTTCTCCGGGGGAGAATAGTTGGCTGCTTATGTCTCTGATCAGGTCCCAGAAACGGTTGTTGGAGATCCCGGAAGGTTCAGGCAAATAATCGTGAATCTCGTTGGAAACTCAATCAAGGTTTGCCCGTTATTTCATATTTTTGCCCAATAGGAAACTATAGACGAATAGACGATCTTAATTATATAAGAACTCTTGTTCATATTGCAGTTCACGAAAAACAAAGAGGGGCATGTGTTTGTGACGGTGCATTTAGCAGATGAAGTGAGGTGCCCGGTTGATGTGAAGGATGAAGTCTTGACACAGAGCTTATCCCTCGTTCGAGACCCGACGAACAGATCTTTCAACACGTTGAGCGGGTTCCCGGTAGTTGACAGATGGAGAAGTTGGCAGAATTTCAAGAAGATTAGCGGGGAAGAACGCGACAAGATCAAGTTGTTAGTGAGTGTTGAAGATACGGGCGTTGGAATTTCTCTCGAAGCACAAGGCCGCATTTTCACGCCTTTTATGCAGGCTGATAGTTCAACATCTCGAACATATGGAGGGACGGGAATAGGGCTGAGCATCAGCAAGCATTTGGTGGACCTTATGGGCGGGGAGATCGGATTCTTCAGTGAGCCAGGCACCGGGAGTACCTTTTCTTTCACAGCCGCCTTTTCAAGAGACCAACGAGGTTCGGTAGAAGCCAAGTGGCAACAATACGATCCAGGCGTTCTAGACTTTCACGGGCTAAGGGCATTGGTGATAGATGGCAAAAGAATTCGAGCTGAAGTCACCAGATACCACCTTCAAAGGCTGGGATTAAACGTGGAGATAACTTCCACGGTAGATCATGCATGTTCATATCTATCTACTTGTTCAAAGACAAGGTAATTTTCTTTCTATAATAAGCTTGTTTTCAAGAAAGTGTTCAAAGATTTCATTTTTAGGATTCCTTTGCAGTGAACCCGAGCATTTGGTCATGATTTTCATTGATAAAGACAACTGGGATACGGAGAATTCTTTAAAGGGTCTTAGGCCATATGGCTCAACGACTCTCAATGGAGCCACGCCAAAACTGTTTCTGTTGGCAACAGAAATGAGCTCGACAGAATGCAATCAGCTTAAATCGGATGGGCTAGTCGATAACGTATTAATAAAGCCTATTCGGTTGAGTGTCTTGGCGTCATGCTTGCAAGAAGCTACTGGCTTTACGTATAAGAGGCAAGTGACAATGCCAAAACCCTCGACTCTTGGAAATCTGCTGAAAGACAAACAAATTTTGGTGGTGGACGATAATGTCGTAAATCGAAGAGTGGCAGAAGGTGCCTTGAAGAAATATGGCGCGATTGTGACCTGTGTCGATGGCGGGAAGGCTGCTTTGGCTCTTCTTAAGCCACCTCACAACTTCGACGCTTGCTTTATGGACCTCCAAATGCCCGAAATGGATGGGTATAGTATTATATTCTACTTCATCTTATATCTTCGTGTTAAAATTAGTCCTATTGCCTAGAACCGACTTTTGCTACTCGTTTTACCGTGACATACTGCCATCGTGCAGGTTCGAGGCTACTCGACAAATCCGCAGGCTCGAGAACGAATATAGAGAAACAATAAATTGTGGCGAGATATTGGTTGACGTTCCTGGCAAACTGGCTCATTGGCGTTTGCCAATATTAGCAATGACGGCGGATGTTATTAGAGCATCGAATGAAGAGTGTATGAGATGCGGGATGGATGATTATGTGTCAAAACCATTCGACGAAGGGCAGCTATATTCAGCATTGGCGCGTTTCTTTGGATCAGGATGATTATGTATCTAAACCAAAGGAGCTAGACTGTTCGAGCATCTGACTTTTGACTTTGCTGTGGCTATCGACTGCTTCATAGCATCGGTCAGACTACACTTGGCCTTTTGTCCCATGTGGTAACTCTCCCCTTTCTTAAAAAAATTTCAACGAACATAAGCCCTTATTGTATTTTTATGAACTGAAAATGAAATATTAGTATGTTGTTGCAGGGGATTGTTAATGTCGGTGATGTGCATGTACTATCTTGAATGAACTCGTTTCCAGGAACGAATGCTAACCCCCCGGGGTAAGTAGCTTTTCTACTTTCTCCGTTCAACCTTTTGTTCATAACTTCACGAGGGTGCGTAAAGAAGATAGATTCTGCAACTGTATATATATACGCTCGAATGTGTTGTCAATTGTTTTGTTGCTAACGTGGTCGCATCCCTGAAGCAGCCATGCGTAGTGATCCCGTCCTGTTTGGTTCAGAAACTGCACTGCAATGGCACCCGGACCAGACAAACCATTCGGGTCGAGTTCCCATCTGCACGGGTTTGTATACTTGGAGCCACATGGCAATGAACCAGTGTTGCAAAAATCGCGCCTAGCGATTTTTTCAACATTGCAATGAACATTGGTTTATGGCTCTGTAAGTGCTGATCTGAATATGATTATCCATTCTGTAGTGTCTATAGATAGGTGTTGGTTCTTAAATTTGTAGTGTAGAGCTAATTGTAACCATATCTGTTAAGCCACGGGGTTTTCTATTCTGTAAATGTGATGTGAGTGAAAGGGATTCTTGAGCCTCTTTTTTCGTGTTGTAAGTAAATGACAGAGATGAATGTTTGTATAAGCACAGTTGTGATCATTTTTTTTTTTTTTTTTGGGTTCAGAAATGTGAATAAATCATTATATTCTCTTAGTTTTCTTTTATCCATAATAGCATGTTAACAAGTTATACTACGATGTAATAGGGCCAGTAACATTAAAAAAAAAAAAATGTTAACAAGTTGTAGCTGCAACTCATAATTTCACATGTTTTTTTTTGGAGTACCTGATTTCAATTTTTTTTTATTACTCTGTACATTTTTGGGGTTGTTACAGATCTAAACAATTTAGGGTTATTTTACTAAAAACGACATTCTATTTGAGCAACATAACCCATTTCCAGAAACACGAAAAAATAGCTAGACCTAGTCGGTGTTTAGACTTTAGACAGCCGTCTACCGTTTAACACCTAAGCGTGATTTTTATAACATTATTCATAACTAATCAATTCAAATTAAAAAGGACAATAAATCACTTCTACTAAGAGTCAAACTTTAAAACTTATCAAGTTAATACCCTTCCTTGAAAACTTTGTTAATAATCCTAAATGAAGGTAGTAAATTACAGCAGAATGATGAATTATTGTGGGTCCAAATTTCCTTTGGATTCTCCTCCTTACAAGGAAGTCAGCATCAACAATCTGCATAAAATACAAATTAAAAGGTTATATTACAGCTATCCGGATTATTAAATAACAAATACCTAATTATCTGGACGTTTTTTTATGCTTTTAGAAGGTGACAAGTACGGAGTAATTAATTACTTATCCGCCGTGTCGGGCAAATACAAGAGACATTTTTACAATTGTTTTTTAAAATGTAAGAAAATTATTCACAAATTTGATACAATATTTAACTTTAAAAAAAATCGAGTAAATGAGAATTACATTCGATGGTATCAAAGAAAGTAAATTTTGTCAGAGCAAGGACCCTTTAAATTGGAGATTCATCCTTTTAGGAGAAAAAAATTAAGAAAGTGAATTTTATCCCAGAAAAGTACAATTCTTTAATAAGGTGATTAAGAATATATTAAATTTATTCATTTACATTTTTTTATTTTTTATCTTATATAAAATTATTCCCATCAAACATATTTCTTGAAAATATTTTCAGTGGACCATAAACTTGAGCTTGTAACCCAATTAACTTACTGGGTTGCCCCATTTTTGTTGAAATTATTTTGTTGGTTTAATTAATTAATTTCCATCATCTTCAATTCATAATCTCTATGCGCTTTGGTTCATCTCCGGCCATGGATTCCAGTGACGAGAAGCAAATCAAGAAACGAAGGAGCAGTTCAGACGACGAACATCACCAGCCGGCGGCAAGAAACTCCATCCAATCTCTCCCCCAAGAAATCATGGCGGACATAATTTCCAGGCTCCCCATAACATCTCTCGTCCAGTTCAGCTTCGCCTGCAAATCCTTCAACCACTTCTCGCGCGATCCACACCTCGTTAACCTCCACCTCTCGCGCACGCACGACGCCGATCCCTGCCTGATTTTCCACTCCGACTATCCCCTGAGAAACCAGCTATCTTTCGTTCAACTTTCCGGTCAAAATCTCGACGACGAGACGCAGAAGGCGAGGAGAATCAACATCCCTTTCGCCGCATCCATGCCGGAGTTCTCCGTCGTGGGCTCCTGCAACGGCCTTTTATGCTTGTCGGATTCTCTCCTCAACCAATCCCTCTGCGTCTACAATCCCTTCACCGGAGACTACAAGGTGCTGCCGAGATTCATGGAGTTTGAAGAGCAGCAAGTGGTGATTGGGTTCGGGTTTCACCCCGGGATCAAGGACTACAAAGTGATCAGGATTGTGCAGTATACTAACACTTACCACGGCCAAGTCACCCCATCGCCTTATCGGAGAAGGATTGGGTTCCGGCGATATGACAGATCAGATGTTCAGGTGTTTAGCCTTGCAAGAAACATATGGAGGAGTATAGGCAAGACGCCATATCAGATTGCCCCAAAGTCATCGTCAGTCGTGTTCAACGGAAGGTGGCACTGTTTGTCCCGACTAGGAAGGTACTATATATTCACTATCAAATTATCTAAAATGGTAACCAGCTTCGTTGGTGTGAGTGGTTATATATTCTCATCTATATAAAAGAAGTCGGGAGTTCAAACTCTGCCCTTAATTCGGGCGGCCCCAAAGACTGGACACTCTTTTTTTGCCTGACTAATTCATGTGATATTACTCTGCCGCCTAGGATGCCAGATAGTCATGTGATATTACTCGGCCGCCTAAGACGAGACGTCCAACTAGGGCTCGACCGCCTAGGAGGTGCCGGGCCCAGACGTCCGACTAGGGCTAGGCCGCCTAGGAGGTGCCTAGACGCCCTCCATATGTCCAACTAGGGCTTGACACCTTTCTGCAACTAGGGCTCGACCGCCTAGGAGGTGCCGGGCCCAGACGTCCAACTAGGGCTCGGCCGCCTAGGAGGTGCCTAGACGCCCTCCATATGTCCAACTAGGACTTGACACCTTTCTGCAATGTTGGTTACTACTCGGTAGTGGTTATTACAAGTCAATAACTGGTTATTTGACTTCAATGCACAAAATGAGTTTAATTACAATTTTTAATTCAGACATACATACATATACTTCAATTCTTTCTTGCTAACAGGTACCATGGTGTTGGCAGGGACAGGCTGATCCTGTCCTTGGATCTCGCCGACGAGCAATTCAGAGAGGTCCAAAAGCCGGAGTTCGCACCCTATCCAGCCCGGTTTTGCAGCTACCATCTGGTGGTTGTAAGAGACTGCCTTGGAGTGGCGTTTACCGCGCCGCCTTCCTACGGCGGCAGCCTGGAAATCTGGGCAATGAAGGTGTACGATGTGAAGGAATCATGGGTGAAGGAGTACGCTATAGCGTCTCCCGGTCCGCCACTCAGGTTGTTCAGCAATCAGGATCTGACACCATACGGAATTTGGACGAACGTTCGGTTTGGGAGGGCGTTCACGGTTCTGTGCGTTCTGAAAAATGGGGAGATACTCATAGAGTACAAAAATGGCGGTCTTGTTTCGTATGACCCTCAAACCGGTGTTTTCAAGAATTTAACGTTCCAGGGACTGCCTAAATTGTGTAAGACAATAGTTCATGTTGGTGGCCTTAATTGGATAGATAGATAATACCAAGTCACCTTGAGATTTGGATTAATTAGCAACGTACTGTTAGAGTTTCAGTCTATCAGGATATCCTTTGATATGATGTACATGCACTGTCAATTTTATGTGAATTGATTGTGTTGTTATGAGCAAAAAGATTTGAGAATGTACTAACGCTGTAATTGTCTATCTTTTTGGGACCTTCTTGACCGAGAGCTAGAAGGAGCCCGGGAGTAGAGTAATTCAATATTGTCCGCACGGGTTTAACTCAATGGTTCACAAGACAGTATTTAGGAGAAGAGACCAATGTTTAAATTTCGGCGGTGACAGTTTGGATTATGTTCAAAGTGACAGATCCCTTGTGCGAACCGACATTTGACTATATCTAGTGAGTCATTGAATTAACATGATTTACATCCTCCCAAATGTTCAGTCTAGCCCGAATCACGGGAGTGTGGATGACCTTTTTAGGGTTGGGATTCAATTTTGGGAGAAGAAGAATAAGTGAATCTTCAATTGGTCCTTGTGTTTTAAGAGTATGTTTTGGACTAGTAAGTTAATTCCATTAATAATAATCCCAAACCATCACCAACACATGGTAACTTATTTATATAAAAAATTATTGTTAAATCTAAATAAATTTCCTTGTTTGTTCACTACAAAAATGTTATTAATAAACAACACTATAACAAAAATAATTTATAGTCTAAATTTTTTTTTTTTAAAGTATAATGTACAAGATTGTTCTAACATTGGGTTCTATTCCCATAGCTTGGCGGAATCCTAGTGATTTGATGCACTATAACATGTTAATGTGTTTAATTGTAATTTTCAAAATTTAAGAATCTAATTTACTTTTCGTATAAAGTTACTGCACATAAAAGTACAATTTGATCAAATTGCATAATTTTAGAAAAAGGACTAGGATAAACTTTTCTCCAGAGCGATAGTTCTCTTTGAAAAAAACAAACACCAGTGCGTGGTACATGTTAGCCACGTGCCATTATAAGCGCAACAAATGCGCAGAGGAGGTTGGGGGACACTGTCTCCCACCCTATGTTTTACTATTTTAAAAAAGGAATAAAAGTCAAATAGGGCATCAAAACTGCACATGACAATGCAATTACCGGTGAACCTAAAAAACATACAATTGAATATCTAACTAATAAATTTTATGCAATTCTTCCAAATTGCAAGTTTCTAACCATTCACCCTAAATTTAAAATATATTTGTTTAAAAATAATTATTAAAAAAAAAAAAAAAAAACAGGACTTCGTCTCCGGCCATAAACGAAGAAACATTCTTCATCTCCCGTCATAGACACGAATAACCATTCTTCGTCTCCGGCCAAACTCTTCGTCTCTGGCCGGAGACGAAGTTCTGTTTTTTTTTTTTTTTTTAATTATTATTTTTTTTTTTAAATTTTAAATAATTATTTAAAAAAAAATATTTTAAATTTGTGTTGACATGTTAGAAATTTGTAAAATTAAGGAATTACATGAAACTAGTTAATTTAGTAATTCAATTGTAGGTAATTTTAATATTTAGTAACCTAATTGCATAAATTCAAAGGCCTATTTGACACTTATTCTAATTTTTTTGTGAAAATATTACACGTCGAGTCGGGTCAGGATGGACTTGATGCGGTAACCCGAGCAACTTAAATAACCCCAGGTCGGTTCGGGTCTCCGATTTTAAAATTGGAGGTCGAATCCGCCCCTCCGCCCTTCAGCCCTTCCGCTCTCGCTGTCTTTCGAACTCACTCTCGTTGTCTGAAGAACTCAGGTCATCTCTGTCCCCAATCCCTCTCCATGAATTAATTTTCTACCACTCGTAGCTAAACCTGCACTCCACTATATAATCTCTTTGCTAGGGTTTTGAGCCAGAGAGGAAATCACGGATGACAGATCTCTCTCCCTGAAACAACAATTTTAAGTGCTCGTTTTCTTCCGTTTGTTTGTTGGCTCGAAGGACTAGCCGAGCAGCCCATGCTATTGTGTGGTAATGCTATTTATTACATGGAGAAGTGATTAAGGTAAATTTCAATATGTCGTTGATGTTTTTTCCTTTTAATGTTAGCGTGGATACTTAACTTTGCATCTGGCTACTTTCAAGTCATGGTGTACTCGTTTGATTAATTTTGGGGCTTTTGTATGTAGCTTTTTCATTTTTGTTTTGATTTTTTTTGGTGGGTAGCTTTGGATGGATTTAACCTCTACATGTAGAATTTAAAATTTGTAACTTGGTCTCTTCTGCTTGGAATTATTACTGGTGCATTTTCCAACTTTCTGTCTCTATAGATTAAGGGTCCAGAATATATGTTGCAAGTTTATCTCGGCAATTTGCTAATTTTACTGAATTTCAAGTTTATCATGCATATTTATTGGATGGCCATAAGTAATGACACTTGAGGAGTTGAGGTAGAACACAGTCTTGACAACATTCCCGGGTTTATAGGGTTTAAAACACTCCTTTCAGCTTCTTCTTTTACTGTGCTAATAACAATCTAAGTGACATTCTGAGTTGAATAAAGTAAAAATGATGCTTCATTCTTGCCTTTTCAAGTCATGACCTTTGATTATTGCCCACATTAACTACAGGGACCACTGAGGTTTTGCAAAATAATACTTATTACTGAAACTGGACAAGGAATTTTTTTTGGTGTTTGAGAATAATCATGACTGATGATAAGGCAGAGGATAAGCAAGAAATTGCACAAGATGCACCTGATGCTGTTACTGATATTCATGCAGCAAACAATGTACTTGCTGAAAACAAGGATGTAGTAGACAACAAGACATTATCTGATTTATCTCACATAGATGCTACAGAATTTCCCAACAAAATAATCTCTTCATCTGAGGATGCAAACACTTGTATGGAAATTGAGAACCCTGAGATTTTCCATCCTGATGCTAAGAGTTGTGAGGTTCCCACCATTGAGGGCAAAGGGTTCATCCAACCTCATTGTCATTCTGATGACAAAATTGCAACCTACACTACTGATATTGATCCCTGTGATCGGCCTGACTACATGGGGAAAGACAGCTCCTCACAAGTAAGTGAAGAGGATGAAATGTCTGAAGAATTAAAAAATTCAGTGTCTGGAGTGGAATTATCTTCTGGTAATGGAACTGAGGTAAGGGGTTTGATTGATGAGTTGCCCAGGGATGGGCCTGTTCCAAAGGAGTCATCTACTGTAAATGGCAGCAGGGAAGATGAAGTGAAAAGTGAAGCAAACGTTGAGTCATTGGTAAACAACAAAAGAAAGGACTTGTTGCCTACTGAAGAAGCGAAGCAGGAATATGCAGATGCATTGAATGTCAAAGAAGTGCTACCAACTAGTCAGGTGAATACAGGATTGCCAAAGCCAGACATGGATGTTGACCATGATTCTAATATGAACCTTACTCCGAAGTCATTCCTATTGGATACAAATGCTGTGGGAGTAGATGAGTCTGGAACAGAGGAAGACCAAGCAGCATTTATGAAAGAACTGGAAACCTTCCATAAAGAAAGGTGCTTGGAATTCAAGCCCCCACGGTTTTATGGAGAGCCATTGAATTGCCTCAAGTTAGTGACTCTCCAAATTTAATTTTCCTTTTTACTTTGAACAAGTTTTTGACATTTGAACTAATTTTCTCCCTCACATGAATAAGGCTATGGAGAGCAGTGATCAGACTTGGTGGCTATGAACAGGTTTATTTCATGTTTCATTAGCTTGATATCTTGCTATCACTATCTTTTATCATGACTAGGAAGTTAAAACTATTATACATTCCACTGTTAAAACAAGAAACTGTGAAGTTTGTGGTTGGACCTGTTGCCTACAAATGAAAACAGTTCATCTCAATTTGGCCCTGGATTCAATTCTTCTACGCATCCACATGTTTTATTCTTAATAGCAACTCATCCAAGCAGTAATCTCAATCTAATTGGTGTCTACTTTATGAATTCTACCTCCTTATAATTTCTTTTGGTTTACATCTCCTATTTCCTATTATTACTACTTCGTTACTTCTTATAAGTTATAAGTGCATCCATAGATCTACACTGCACATCTGCAAACAATCCTAATGATTTTCATTCAATTGTCCTTGGTGGGTGCCACCTCACTTCATATAAATTCATTTCTATTACAAACACACATTTCCATTCACATCTTGATTTTCTCCATCTTATAAACATTTTCCTCTTCACTGCTCATCAGTCATTAGTCATCACTCCCCCCTGTCATGAGAGTTTAGCCCCTGCATAACAGTCTTTTTTTCTGAGTATTATTGTTGTTGTGACTGAAATGCAATTTATGTTCTGAGTAATTAGATATATGGAATTCGTTCAAACATTCTCCTTCTGATTGTGCAGGTGACATCATGCAAGCTATGGCGGCAAGTAGGAGAATCATTTAAGCCTCCAAAGTAAGGCAAATTCGTAGTTCCTATTTATTCAATTTGTTTAAATAGTCTTGTCTTTAGACCTGAAACTCAGGACAAGAACAGAGCTGGAGTTTTACATGAACTTGTTCATCTAACCAATGAATTCACCTAAAACATTTAAACTGTAGAAGTAGCATCAGTAACTGATCTGAGGGGTTATTTTGTTTCAATTTCACCATTAGGAATGACTAAGCGTCTAAGCCCAAATTCTCAGAATAAGTCTGGTGGAATATCACAACTTGGATGTACAATTAGGATTTTTAGTTTGCAGTGACATGTTGGTATTTGGGGTTAGTGCCTGGATAATCTCAATGTTGCTAGTTCCCTGTGACCCTGTTAGTCCCTTGTTTGGGTGGTGCCTTGATTTTCAGGACAAGGCCTTTTTCTTTCAATCAGATGGACACAAAATTTTGCCCTCCCTTGGATTATCTCGTGGTTGCTATCAGATTTTGGCATTAGGCATTTCGCTTCAATCCAGAATGGATTATAATCTCACACCATTAACAGATTGTCTATAAATCCACTTTACCTAGTTTTGGACTGTAAAAGGTAAACCGGGCACAACTTTAAAGAGGACTATTGGTCATAATTACCAATGATTAGAAGAGTGGACCAAAATAATAAATTCTTGGGGATGGGGAATAAGGTAGGCAAAGCTTACCTGCGATGGGCTTATGGGGAATATGAACTTAACTTACTTAAGACTGGCACTAAATCTGTCCAAATGACTACCAAATATATAGCTAACTAAAATGGGAATTGGCATTCTAGTTGAGTAGGGAATGAAAAATAGAAATATTAATTCCTTTTCAATGCAAATTAGTTGTCCAGTTAAGTTTGAAGATGGTAAAATTTGCACAGTTTTAACAAATTCAGGAAAAAAGGAGTTTTTTTTGGAAACCAATTGTAAATTGAAATTTCTAATTTTCAGATTTCTGATAGGGTGGGTTGTCATCATTCGGTTGGAATGGATGCTAGGGTTTTAGAGTTGAGGGGGTGGAAATGGTATTTGACTATTTGGGGGATGCATGGGGCTCTCTCTTCTACATGGTTTAGTGTGACCATTCATATGCATGTAAAAAACACTAATTTAATTACTGTTACATTCATTTTTGAACTTTGCAGGACATGTACTACTGTCTCTTGGACATTCCGGTGTTTCTATGAAAAGGTTATGTTCCAGTTTGTAATTATACTAATTGGTTTACTACCTTCAAATTCTCATTGACATTTACTGCAGTCTCTTTTTACATCATTCTTTTGCATATTCCTTTTGGCATATTTTTTTATACATCTGTTTCTTGGTTTCTTATACAATATGAAAGTGCCATTATATATTCCTTGTCATGCTACTGTATTGTGTAAATTTGCAGTATGATGGGTTCCCTATTTCTGTTCTCGATGTCTCATTATGGCAGTACTTATTGCTCTTAGAACATGAAATGATTATATGTTCTCCTTTTGTCATTGCACATTCTTTTTATAAAATTTAAACTTCCATATAACTGTTTTTTTTTTTTTTTTTTTTTTTTTTTTTTTTTTTAAATATGATTTCCATTAGTTCACTGTGGTTTTTCTTCTATATGTCTGCATTTTGGAACTGATGACTTGCTAACTTTGCAGGCACTGTTGGAATATGAAAAGTACAAGATGCGCAGCGGTGAGCTTCCTTTTGCTGACGCATCTTTTTCAGAGCCTTCTAGTACTGGTAACCCGGTAATGCCACATGCCTATTTATTAAGATAGGTTGATTGAATGATTGATGCCATATACATTTTTTGTGAAGAGTGTGCCATTGTCCTCATAAAATCATGGTATATAGGTTGTAGTAGCTGTAGTTATTCTTAATGCAGATTTCAGTTGCATGTGTTGGTTTGTTTAGTTTGAAAATGGTGTTAATTTATTTCATGACTAGGCAATTTGCTTTGTTCCACTGACGACGCTTTTGTTGCTTTTACATTTTATTTCAAAATAATTTCTACGCCACATGGAAACTCATATGCATGTAACTGAACTTATGATTCAAATGAATAATGAGAGGATACTTTTGGTTAGGGATGTCAATTAGCCATACCCAGTGGGGAACCAGATGGGGGGATGGGGACAGTGGACAGGGTATATGCCCCCACCCTGTTGACATCCCTACTGGTCTAGCAATCATGGAGTGACCTCTCATTTATTACTGTCACAAAATCTGCTCAGAATTGTACACTATGGGTCTTTATTTGAATAAACTACAACTTGGCACTAGTGTGGGCTCTCTTTGTTTTTTGATTCCTCAGTTTTCTGATTATTACTAAAGTAGTTACTGGTTTTTGGCGATGAGGAATTCTTACAATTTGATACAATCTAAAAGTGTTTCAATTTGCAGGGTAATCAGGCATCAGGATCGGGTAGAGCAAGAAGAGATGCTGCAGCACGTGCTATGCAAGGTTGGCATTCTCAACGCCTTCTTGGAAATGGTGAGGTTGGAGATCCTATCATTAAGGTCTGTAAAAAAGGTTTTGCACTTCATGTGCTCAAGTCTTCCTCTTTATACATATTTGTTTTGAAAATTTGCAGGGAAATCATGCTTTCTTTTATTGTTTCCTTGTTTTCTCACCTTCTTTCTAGGACAAGAACTCAATTTCAACACCAAAACGCGAGAAACAACTCAAGAGTATTGGTATAAAAAACTTTTCATGACAGTTTAACATTGTTTTTGTATTTTACTTCCTGGTACTTGTTATATATTTTTCTGTGTAATTTTCTTCATGGTTAGGCTTGCTAAAGCGCAAAAAGCTGTCTCCTGTTGATAATGTTGCCAAAGCCGCCACGCGCATGAAAATACCAAAAACACAGTTAAGATCTCTACGGATTAACTGTTCCTTGATCTTTGATGGATTGATCGTTATTGTAGGAACTATTTTGTGTATATATATGAATGATACTTATCTTTCAAAAGATCTAGAAATGAATTTGATGTCTTTCTGAACAATCTCATCCAAGACCCTGCATGACTGTGTCATGCAGGAGCCTTGCAAGTTGCAACTGAGTCCAACTGACTAATTTCTGCTGCTATAGTGCTGATATTAAAGCTAAATGTTCCACACAATACCTTCAATGCTTTTTTCCAGGTAAAGAAACAGACAATTCAGAGTGGACATTTCATTGTGAACTCTTTTACTCATAAATAATTAAAATTAAAACACTGTTTCAAAGATTGATTATTTATGCTAAACAATTATTGTTGCCAACATTTGCACTTCTAGTAGTCAGCTATTTTGTTTATTGCTTTCATATTGTGTAAGATTTATATTTGCTTATGTATGTAACTTCAAGTTTATGCTTGCAGGTCAGAATCAATGGTCGCTGATATTGGGGCTCCTGCTGACTGGGTGAAGATCAATGTACAGAAGACTGTATGTTCTTTATGCATCACTAAATGCCTGAACATATATTGCTGTCTGGATTTTCTCTTGCATGTATATTAATGGGTTTTGGAAAATATGCTCCACAGAATGACTGCTTTGAAGTATATGCTTTAGTACCTGGCCTTTTGCGTGAGGAGGTAATTCAGGAAATTGTATTCAGTATACATATTATTGTTTTTCGGGAAAAATGTAAAAAATGCCCCTCTATAATATGTCAATTATCAATGTCACCCCTGAATTATGAGTGGTGTAAATGTTGCCCCTCAATTATCAAAATGGTGCACATATAGCCCCTCCCGTAACGAACTTGTGGTTCCCCACCACTGTCCATCGCTGGTACTTCGAATCAAGGGAGGGAAAAAACAACTAAATTACATATTTACTCCGATTTAACGGTGTCGTACACTAACGGGGAACCACATGTCCGATACGGGAGGGGTTATATGTGTACCGTTTTAATAATTGAGGGGCAACATTTACACCACTCATAATTCAGGGGTGACATTGATAATTGACATATTATAGAGGGGCATTTTTTACAATTTTCCCTTGTTTTTCCCTTACTGCTGATTTGACATGCTTATATTTTGAAAATGGGAATTGCTCTCTTTGAAACCCTAATTGTATTTGTGCACTGAGTTTGACCTTTTACAAATACGAAGAATGATTATATAAAGATCCTTGTAGTCGCTATTTGAGATCTTTAAAACCTTGAATCCTTGATGTGTTATTTAAGCACTGTGGTGGAAGAAAAATCTGTTGGACAGTCTTGGGCTCTTAGTAAGCATAGAGAGAGAGAGAGAGAGAGGAGTACAGATATCTGAGTTTTTACTGAGGTTGTGCAATTTCTTGGGATTTTCCTATTTAGAATTGTTTGTGATTTCTACTATGGAAATTCTCAACTTGTTTGTGTGAATTCAACATTGTGACAATACACTTATTGATCTTTCACTTACAAAAATATTTCAGGTTCGTGTACAGTCTGATCCAGCAGGACGCCTGGTTATATCTGGCCAGCCAGAACAACTGGATAATCCCTGGGGTGTCACTCCATTCAAAAAGGTTTGGATACCTTGTGATTGAAACCACTTTCCCATCAGTCTTATCTGTTTTTGCACATGAATTTTCATGGTTTATATGCCCAATGAACTTTTAATTCCCAACTTCCTGCTGATTTCTGTCCAACAAAGATATATCATATATACGAACCTTTGCTTGAGAATACTGATATATTCTTCTCCTCGGGCAATTTTGCTAAACTAAAAAATGAATTCCAGGTAGTGAGCTTGCCCTCAAGAATTGACCCTCATCAGACATCTGCTGTCGTTACCCTGCATGGACAGTTATTTGTACGCGTGCCGTTTGAGCAATCAGATATATAAACTAGGAAAGCACTCCATCTTGGATAGTGAGTTTGACTTTTACATGGGGGAAATGGGTGCTGAGATCAAATTTTGTATTGCACAAATTCCTCTTTAGTACAAGACTTAGCTTGTGAATTTTCTTATTGTTCAGGAACTTGTATGCGTATGTAGATTAATTTCTTATACTTCCTGGCAGTTTATGATCATGATACCTTCCGGTGTAAAATAGGACGATGCATATTTCCCCTAGAGACTAGAGTTTAGTTGTGACATTGCATGGCAGTACATACTATGTTACCAACAATGCCCGGTAGGACTGTTTTCTCTTTTAATGCTGCAAAATGTGTATGGATATTCATCTCTGTTAAAAGAAAAAAAATAAAATAAAATAAAGGGTGGAGGGTGGGGAGGGGTGGTCCAAAACGTTATCATCCTCTCCATACAAAGCATGTGAGTACCCATAACTGATCCGAAATGAATCAAGAAAAGAGGGATCCCTAAACAACTTTTGAAGGCACAACAGGTTTGGATTATATCGACAGATCAACAACTTGATGCACTGGAGCGAGCCGTAGAGAGGACAGGTCTTGCACAATACCTTAGGCAATTTTGGACATCATAAGTCATAGCACCCTTGAGAATGACTTATCTTTCTTCTTAACTAAATATCGACTTCAGCCAAGAGTGAGCTCTTCAGTTCGGCATTAGGTGAATCGGACCTTGTAACACTCATAGTAAATTACTTAGCTTTTCTCTTGACCAAGGTATTGACCTTGACCAAGAGCGAGGTCAAACCTTGTAACGTCCCTAGAAAATGACTTAGCTTCCTTCTTGACCAAGGTATCAACATCAACCAAGAGTGAGCTCTTTTGTTTAGCATTAAATTAAATGAGGCCAGACTTCGTAATATTCCTAGGGAGTGACTTATTGATCTTAGCCAAGAGCGAACTCTTTCAAATCTTCTCATTTAGCGAAGTAGCAAAGTAGAAGAGCTCATCTTCTAATGCTTCTCTTATAGCAGAATAAATGAGCTCACCTAGGAGTGGAGTCTTCTAAGTTTTTCCAATCTTCCAATTAACCTCAGGGCAAGGTCTTCTCATTCCTGAGTCGAGGTCACACCTTGGTCGAGACGAACTGAGTCTTCGTGTTTGAGGCAAAGTCCTCCTTCTAAATGAGTCCTCATGTTTGAGGCAAAGAAGACTTTATAACTGAGTTAAAGTCCTCCTTGTGGTCAACACAATGTATACTTTATGATCAAGTTGAGGTATTCCTTGTGGCTAAGACTAAGATGAAGTATGATGTTATATATTTGGGTATTAGAGGAAACATGTATGATGAACGTAACAAATAATAAATAAAAATTTAGATAACACTCCATCATGCATGAGAACTTAATCCCCTCATACTCGTGACCTCATGGGTCATTATTGCCATCTATAAGCTTGCCATTTACCCACGCAAATATAATATGCATCGAGCAGCTATATATAAACAAAAATTGAATGAGAAGAAAGGCTTCTTGAACTATATATGCAGAATCGGCCAAGAGTTCCAAAGATCGAATGAGAAGAAAATTTTATCAGACTATGCGGAGTGGGTCGGACCAAGAGCTATGATTGATAAGAGTGTGTTAAAGTTCAAACTAACCCTTGAAGAATATACAAGCAAGTGAACCTTATTAGGGAAAGCTCTAATCGCTTGCATTGGAACTAAATCCTATCACAATCCTTGTCCTTGTTTGCCATTAAATTAGTAATTAGCTGGTTAGCCTGCCTGATTCTGATGTTCTTGGATATGATTTGGACTAGTAAAATGATTTCATTGAGTTTGACCCTACATATATACCATATATGGGTAATAATCTAATCTCGAAGCCCCCAACATACACATGCTAAACTATTTAATTTAATTTGTTGTTCAACTGTACTAAAACTTATAGATCCATGGGAGATGCATGGTCCGACCGGAAGGTGGAATAATACTGAAAATCCTGTAACCAGAAATAACTGTAATCATGCATATGCTAGTGAAGATATGCTAAGGTTATTGCTTTGCATTGCATGCATGCCCCACCCACTTACAAATCATCACTGCCAGATTTAGGATCTGATCTGCACTTGAAAACCAACAAAAGGAAAAGGGGAAAATCTGCTTCTGCTGACGAATTGAAACTTCACTTTCAACTCACTCACACCAATTCAACCAATCTGCTTTAATTTGACATTTTACTTCTGTCTTCTTCTCTTTTGGCCCTCTCTATATTCGCCACCGCCACCCGTGCACCACCCCCACCCTACTCCTTTTTATGCTTCCCATTTTAATTTACACTATTCTTCTATCTTATGTTTTTACTCCATCTTTAATTTAATTACCCTATGATAATTAACCTTCTTAGATTATATTAATTCCAATTCAAAACTAAAAACAATTGATTTATTATTATTATTATTATTATTATTTGTTTTTTTTTACACTTGTACTATTGGCTTGGCTAATGAGAAAAACACAACGGTTACGTTATCCAAAAGTGCATCATCTTAGGTGAAGCTGGCCTACCCTGTCATCATATATAACTGACCAAGAATCGGACCACAAAAATTGTATTATTCACTTGCTTGTCTTTGATTTATGAAAAAGTCTGTAAACGCCTTATTGTGACCTAATTAGTAAATTAAAGGAACACAAAGATGTAAAAAATGAAAGTAAAGGAAAGGAATAAATATAAAGAATGGTAAAATGACATAAATGGAATACCCTAAACATTTGAGTTTAATCTTTAATTTATTTCTCTAGGATGATGTATTAGAAAATAATAATAATAATAATGGAATATAATGGAGTTGTAAATACAGTGCCTGCCATACGACGTATACGTCCTTCATGTCGTCAAACGTTCACCGCTTTGCAAAGGAACATGAGCGACGCCGTGGAGGAGTCGTCGCCGAGCCTACCTCCGCCTCCGCCGCCGCCATTGTCGCCGAGCAACACCCTCTCATAGTAGTCGACGCAGAACAAGGACAAGGAGAGGTCCACCTCGTTCCGCGTCCAGACTCGTTCCGACGACGAGTCGGCACCGATTCGCCAGCTCCTGAGTCGACTCACCACCGGCCTCACGCACACCATGTACAGCCTGCGGTACCCCCCGAGCGCCGTGACCACCGTCCTCACTCCCTCCGGCGGCGGCGACGCGTGGCGGAAGCACAGATGCTCCCACAGCGAGTCGTCCCGAGATATGGCGCACCACAGGCGGCAGACGCAGGCGGCGACGCCCATGGAACGGCCGTCCAGCCGTTTCAGGATCTCTATCAACACGTCCACATTATCATTGATGCAAAACTTGCAGCTTCTTTTCTCCCTCTCTTCTGCCATGTTTAACACGTTTTCCTCCCCAAAATGCACCGCTATTTCTATGACCTAATCTCTTCGCTTTCACTGTGAAGAAGAAATTAAATTGGTGAAGAGAGGAGAGGAACTGAGGGTTACTGATAGAGAGAAAGTTATGGCTAGGTAGCTAGCTATATAGAAAACTATATACACCTTTTGACTTACTATTTTATTCACCACTTTTTAATTAAACATTATTAAAATATGTTTTCCAATTTGTTGGGTATATCAAAAAAACAAAAAAAAAAAAAAAAAAGAGAGTAACCTCTTTTTTCTATAACATGAAGAACTCAAAACTAACCTACTATTAAGTGGAAGAGATTCATTCATACATAGCCAAAGATCAAGGATTCAATCATTGAATTTGGAGTTAGAGTAGCCTTAAATCTCCATGTCAGTTATCCTTGTGACTGACCAGGAGAAATTGGCTACAGGGCCCTAAATGAGGCTAAGGTCCTAATAATTAGGAGAGAAAATAAATATTAGGCATTCTACAAATTGAGGTACTGTGTTATTGCCTATCTTACACGTCTTAAAATCTGACCATGATTGACTATAGCTAAAGCAACAATATATACAAAAATCATGCACCACTCATGTAGTGAATTACCTCTTTTGGACTGAGGTAGCAAAATGATTTTCTTTTACTCTGTAAGTTATACTTCTCCTTAAAAGTTTTAAGTAAAACACATGATATTGTAACTCATGACATTGTAAAATTTATGATATAGTAAGAAATGTATGGGTTAATTTGTAGGGGAGCTAGGGAAGGGTAGGTGGGGTAGGGGGTATCCAAGGGAGGAGAGAAGTGGACGAGGGAAAGAATCCAAGGGAAGGAGGCTAGGAACAAGTAGGACCAAGGATGAAGGACTTTATAATTATTTGTTTAATAGGGTTAGGGCATAGGAGAAAAATGTTGTTTGTTGTTCTTGTTGTTTGTGTAGTCCCATGGGGGCCATAGCAGAGCTTTGAACCTAGAAAAAATATTAAAATTAAAATTAAAGTCAGATGTGAACGTTATATATGCTTCGATATTTGCTACTGCGTTGAACTTAGCTACTTTATTTGTTTACAACTGGTTGGTTTGTGTTCTTGTGTGTGTGTATATATATATATATATATATATATATATATATATATATATATATATATATATATACACACACTCCATTGTAAAATATATCATGTGTATTCTACATACTCTAAAGAATATGATGTTGAGATATTGACAAAAATAGATAAAAATGAGTTAAATTAGATAATATTTTAAACTCGAGCTTTGTTCGGGAGAGCTTAACAATTATGTTTACCAAACATTAATAATTTTAATTCATTAGTTTATTAGTTTTCAACTTTCAGCTTCAGGCTACTAGTTGTTCAATTTTTATATTGCAGTTAGTTGTTCAATTAGGTTTGCCAAACAATACCGTAGACAAAAATGAGCAAAATTACTCGCTAGTGAATAACAATGTGTTGTAGTCCGATCTGCAATCCAGCTTTTGTCTAGTTACCATAAAAAAACTTGATGAAATGTATTTGTTAAATGCGTCTTGGGAAAAAACTTGACCAAAATACATTAATCGATTTTTTTTTTGTTTTTTGTTTTTTTACAAGTCCCTATTTTTGTCCATTTCATTTCATTTTTGCCTATTTTAATTAATTCACTGTTTGCCTTTTTTTATTTATTTATTTTTATAAACTTTAAAAGTGGTTTATTTTCATCCATTTCATTTCATTTTTGCTTATTTTAATTAATTCCTCATATAATGCATATCTACATGCAAGGTCAATTCCATGTAAATTGAAATAAAACAAGTAGATATACTAATAACAAAATTTTTAATGTTGGGTACTATAAATATAAATAAATAGTGATATTTTTGTAAATAAAACTAATAAAATTATTACTCTATTTATAAAAATATCAACGATTCTTTTTATTTTATAATAGTCTACATTCTTACTATCTAAATTGATAAATAATAAAATGAGCGATGAAAAAAATTAATAAAAATTAAAGAGTAATAATTGATAAACTAAAAAGACGAAAGAAAGATAAGTGATAAGGAAGTCCAATGACACGAAAACAATATGGTGAAATGAGATGATTGAGTGATGGATTTGGAGGAAAGTACATAGCCATTCGAGTGATTGTCCAATGGTGTATGGATTTTTGCAATTTTGGTCTAAGAGCAGTGAAATTAGGAAAAACCCAAATTCCTATGAGACAGAAAACATATTATATATATATTTATTAAAATTTGTGAAATATTTAGATTTGACAATTGACACAGTACTATATCTTTTCCAAAAATCTTCTGATCTTCCATCCTCAACATCACTTCTTCATCACCACCTTCAGCAACTCCCCTTCCCTACCAACTGGAAAAATCACACGCCCCAAAATGAGGTCCAATAAGTCTTTTTTCTATGGCTATATGCGGGTGACGCTGAGATTTGAACTCATGACCTTTGACATGGCTCTGATACCAAATTAAAGCATGTGCTCCATCTCAATTAAAAGTCTAAGCTGATAGTTGGATTGCACATTAACGACTATATGCTCAACAGTAATTAGAATATCTTCGTCATGATTCCAATCCAAATAATTTACAAAAAGTTATATATTTATATGAAGTATGTGATTATGTATTATGATCTGTCTAATATTTGAGACTAATTCAGATTCGTTATGAGTTGCGTTCGCAAAGTTTGACTCTTATTTGAAACAATATTTGATACATAACTCTTTAACATGATACACAACAACACACATACAAGATCAGAGTTAAACTCTAAATATTATCAACGAACCAATCCCATTAACCCTAATGTACAACACATGTGACAAGTGTTTATGAAAGTCATACAAACCACGCACGAGTCAAAGCTAGCTAGCTAGCTTGCAATAAGCTTATATTTATGTCAATTGTTTCACATTACGCCATTAATATAAGGCTTAGGTGTCACGTTTATTGGTAATACCCATACAAGGTTAATTGTTGGGTACTGTGTTGGACGTGTTTGTTGGATGCATATGAAACAGCTGCCGATTCCTTTCCTGCTGAGAGGAATTGGATAACACCAAACATACAATGAAAAGTGGAAATTAAAGGTGGAAGACGACCCGCAAACTCCGCTACCTAGCTTCAAATTGTATATGTATATTCACCTCCATATATATATATATATCCTCAATCGTTTCTTCGTACTGTGTATGTAGACATATATATATGTGATCAATCAAGCTAAGTGTACTTTGTTGTTTCATGTTAACAAGTCAAACATGTCTTTAATGACAACACCCCTGTACTGCTACCAAATACAAATGTTGAGATCATGCAAGTAATTTCATTGTTCCCTTTAATTTGTCCCCATTTGCTTGTCTTATTATTACCTATTTCATTTTCATAGATGCACTTACTTCTATTTCATTAGTTTTTTAATAGTTTTGTTATTAGTCATTTAATATAATAGACACTATAGGAACATAAAAAATTAGTTAATAGCATCACACACTGTATTATCATTTAATGAATTTTATGGTCCATCAAGCATTAATTGTCTATTGTCTTTCATTACGACATCCTCGATCTTTATTTTTGAATGACAAGAAAAACTTGCAACTTAATTGCAATCACTATCACCCCACAGTACAAGATGTGTACTAAGTAAATTATATTCTTGTTTAATAATTTGTAAATCACATGAGAGTCATTACAGCATCCTTATTGAAGATATACAACCCTATCTCCTATCCCACGAGTAAATTATATTCCTATTTTAAATTGGTTGGTTGGGATACCAAGTAACGTGGTATCTTAGAGATATATAATCCTATCTCTTATATATATATCCCCTTTGGTAGACTAATACCCACCGTATGTACGCCCTGTCGGTTGGGACCTGTAGGACACGTAGCCTCCGTTCGATACCAACCGGTCTTGCCCTATTAGGGCATGAAAACTACCCGACCGCCTCGGTCGGGATGGAGTCCTAGGAAGTAGTGGCAGAAGACCCGCGCCACGTGGTGGTATTCCTTGGGCAGAGTGCCTGCGGGTGCATGACAGCCATGCAGTCGGCATGCCGGGACCCCAGATCTTGCCCTCTCGCCCTCTATAAATACCCACATTTATGACGATGAAGGGGACTTTTGACTCTAAACTTGACCGGAACTGATCGACCTATGTGTACGGAACCGTAGAGGCACCCGTATATACTTTATCACCCTTAGTATACCATATATGCATGTCTAGTCCCAAAAGAGTGAATGCAACCGTTATTTTCTGCCAATTATTTCTCACCCAAACATTTTTTTTTTTTTTTTTGAAAGCTACTGATTCAACCAAACATATATTTCAACCATAGTTAACAAATTAATAAACATGAGTACACAACAAAACTATGAAGTATATACATCTAAACGTGTGACTTTTATATACTAGGATAATACTTTACCTACTCAACCATTATTTTTGGGAAAAATAAAAACAAGATTTTGACAACACAATGGAGGCGAGTAGAATAATTTGAAGAAAAACATAGCAGTAGCAGGCTGCCTGAAAAATTAGCAATTGCAAAAGTCAGGCAGAATCAAACAAAGGTTTTTTATATTAAAAAAACTGTCGAAAAATTGTAAGCAGAAAAGCAGGAAACAAATCAAGTCCAAGAGCTTGTAACCAATGCGAGAGAGGACATCCCATTCTCAACTGCTCTCTTAGCGCAACGCAAAACATCGTGGAATCTCGTCTCAGGTTGTTGTTTCATCTCATTAATTTTACAGTACATGTCCGTCGTCTCTGTGTGTTGTTTAATTTGACGTATTTTAATCCCCAGCCCCAAACGAGAAATAACTGTGTAGTGTATGACCTCGATCAAGGGCACACAATCATCTCAAATTCGGATCCTTCCACACAAACCCGCCCCGAAACACTGTTCTGCACCCCATCGGGCCCGGAAAATAGTTAGGGGATTCTCAACTCCGCCGCCCAACGAGAATTGTCGTTTTCCAACATCGAGCCCGGAATCGGAATCGGGCTCTAGTTGAGCTCAGATGGGTCGTTCGCGAGCTGTACCTCACTCCGCCGACGATGATCCCAGC